ATTTTATTGTTTTTTTCGGTAAATTTAAGTTCTAATTAAAAAATATTTTAATCATTTCATCAATCTGAAAAGTGAGGCTTACAAATTTTTATTTACTCTGTTTGTTTACAAATTTAATCCGCCAATTTGTTAAAAAGGGGCAAAATACTTTATCGTTTATACAGTGAAAATCATTTATAACTTGGGCAAAAACTGCTTCACTTATCGGATCAAAGTTAGAAATCAAGTATATATAGTCTATATCATTGAATAAACCTTATATATGTATTATATTATGTTTGTCAGAAAATGAGGTAATGCAATTTTGTTTGCCTTTTAAACAAAGACAAGCTTTCTAAGTCTTTTATTACAAGTATTTTTTGAAAAATTATTATGGAATCAAATGAATTCATTTGATTCTATAATAACGGACCTTGAATCATCAGGGGAATTTTAGACTTTTTGGAACTAGTTGAGTCTAAATAATACTTTTGTTAATATTTGATTAAAGATTATATTATACTGATGAGAAAATTTTTAACAATGACAAAAAATTTTATAATACATTTGATTAAAGGTAAATTTTAAACTTATACCCAAGTATAAGAATTTGAAATGATTTAAGTTTTGCTATATATTAAACATTCATTGTTTTTTATTATACTGATTGAATTATCTAATTTATTTATAAAATTTATTACTTTACATGCATGATTTTACAATTTTTTTAATTGCTTTTTATGACCATACAATATTACCGTATAAAAGATGATTATGGACTATATACTAAAGTACAACATTTTTTGTGATTTATTATCTAGAAAATACCTTTACAATATTATTATTATTATGGATGTAATTAATACATCCATAATAATAATATATAATGTATGTTCAATATGGCTATAGTTCAAAAATCAAAGTATTTACAAACATACAAATTCAAGACAAATTCCTAATACAACTAAAGACATTAAATGGATTATAAAACTCTAGCATTTAGAACACTACAAAGACAAAACACAAAAAATTTACAAAAACTTGCAGAACACTTACTTAAATCTAACTTAAACAACACTCTCTGAACTCTAACTTAACTACTGAATAAACGCCCCTCTAAAACACCACTTCTCATACTGGACACCTGTCCAAATAATACACTTTATCTAGCACTTATATTATAAATTTCTTCCTTCTTCTTTCTTCCTTCTCTTAAGACTACTACGGCCTGATGGTTCCATATAAATGGTGGAACTTTAATGACTTCCACTGCTAGTCATTAGCAGAAATAGGAAGGATTTTGATCAAAAAGAACATATAACATCGAAGCTAAAATAGAATTGAGAACCATAGTATTTCTGAGCACACAGTTACATACAAAAAAAGACACTAAATAACGTGTTATAATCCAACATTTTAACACTGCAAACCAATACACAAAACACAATAACTAACACAACACACGGAACGCTATAACAACGCTTACTCAACTTACTCAACGGGAACTTAAAACACACTGACGTAACTTTAACTCAATCACTGAAGAATACTCCCCACTTAAATGCCACTCTTTAATACTGGACATCTGTCAATATATTTAAAATTATCTAGCACTCTCTTGCACTCATATAAAATATTTCATCCTTCTCTTAAGACTATGACGCCTGATGTTTCCAACAAGTGGTGGAACTTTAATAGCTTCCACTGCGAAACAATAGCAATTTTTTTATGTTAATTCACCTCCCAAGGCCGAACAGGCCAATACAGTCGAGGAGGCTACTTTAATTGTGGTTACAATCCTATCCCAAATCTATAACTTTGAAACACAAGCCTTGACAAACAAAGCCTCTATGCAGATAAACAATTTGAGCGCGGTATTAGCAGGGGATCGAATTCGGAACTTCTCGCTTATATAGCGCTCTACCACTACACCACTTCCACATAGTTTATATAAATAACGTCTATACGAGATAAAATTGCAAAAAACTAGAACAAATGCGACTGAGCCCCAACAAATTTTAGAAAATTTATTGCAAATTACGAAAAAAAATCTAGTTCAGTGGCGCTAATCAGTGGCGCTGGTCCAATATACACCTATCAGCATAAAACTCTATCTAACTCATCGTATATCGATCACATCGCAGCTCTAAAAGAGTCATCCTTATTATTTATAAATACAAGCGTTATTCCTCCTTCTCCTTTTAATTTTAGTAATCACTTACCAATCGCTACAAATATCGTTGTTACACATACTAATCTATCAACCGTAATAAATAGCATAATGCATAAATATAATTATATTCCAAAATATGCATGGAATAAACGAAAAATTCATTAACATATATAATCATAACCTCTCAGTAGCTTTCAGCTACTACACCTTCAATGAAGAAGAAATATCGAACAAGAATTAAAACAAACATGCGAAAAAATCCAAAATGCTGCTTTGTTAGCAGTTAAGCAGTGCTTTAAACAACAAATCTGTAAGTATTCCAAATCATAGTGGACAACGGACCTTAAAAAATGCAAAGAAAATCTTTCATTTAACTATAAACAATGGCAAAAATCTAATTATAATAAAACACAAGAATGCATTGAATACAAAAGATACATCTTTTCACGCAAAAACTTCCGTAAAGCAGTTAAAGCAGCTCATAACAAAAAGATCCACGAAAAAACTATAAATATTGAAAATCTTCAAACCACTAATCCTCAGAGGTTCTGGGATAACATCCGTAAAATCAAAACTAAAGCAACAACTCGATTATTTACAATTAACAAATCGCAAAATATAAAAGATATCGTTCAAGAATTTAGACAACATTTTCAAACTCTTCTCAATACGCCTCTTATTTTAAATAATAACTATAATCCTTCTCTTATTTTAAATAATAACCATAATCCTTCTCTTATTTTAAATAATAACCATAATCCTTCTCTTATTTTAAATAATAACCATAATCCTTCTCTTATTTTAAATAATAACCATAATCCTTCTCTTATTTTAAATAATAACCATAATCCTTCTCTTATTTTAAATAATAACCATAATCCTTCTCTTATTTTAAATAATAACCATAATCCTTCTCTTATTTTAAATAATACCCATAATCCTTCTCAAATTCCATCTCTGAGTAAAGAGCCTAATTCACTAATCATAACATCAGCTGATATTATAAATTGCATCTGACAATTAAATAGTAATAAGTCCCCAGATAGCTATGGGTTAAGTGCTGAACACCTTAAAAACTCTCATAATAATAATCTTCTTTTGTGGCTCGCTAAATTTTATAACAGTATTCTATCGAATGGAAAAGTACCAAATGATCTATCAACTTCAACAATTATTCCACTTGTTAAGTCATATAAAAAATCTCTTAATAATCCAGATAATTATCGAGGAATTAGTATTTTACCTATCTTTACTAAACTTCTAGAGTATCTAATACTACAAATATGTCCTAGTATAACAGATAGCCATTCCCATCAATTTGGTTTTAAAAAAAACAGTTCTACTCTCCTCGCAGAATTTTTACTGAGCGAAACTGTTATGCACTATAAAAACAATAACACGCCTTTATATATGTGCAGTTTAGATGCTAATAAAGCTTTTGACACTTGCAACTGGGATTTGCTATTTGAGAAGCTGTATTTCCAAAAAAAACTTCCGTTGTCTGTAGTACACACAATATCATCCCTTTATCATTCTGGTTCTGCAAACATATCCTATCAAGGTGTTACCTCAAATCAATTCAGTCTATCACAAGGGGTGCGACAAGGGTCTATTCTATCGCCACATTTATATAACATTTATACTGAAAGCATCCTAAATGAAATTGTCTCAGAATGTAAAGTAGGATTGACAATAAATAGAATTTATACTGGTGTAATTGCATACGCAGATGGTGTAATTTTGCTAAGCCCCACAATCTCTGGTCTGCAGGAACTGATTAACAGATATCAAACATATGGAGTAGCAAACTTTATCAAGCTAAACACTGAAAAAACAGAATTTCTGATTTCTGGAAAAAGTTATATTCCTAACAACGTTGTTAAAATTAATGGAGTCTCTTTATATCTTCAAAATAAATTAAAACATCTGGGTTTTCAATGGGATAACGATACCAGCAAAAATAAAATTGCAACACTTCGAAAGAAAAATTTAAATAAGCGTATAACTCAGTTTCAACTAGTTGCAAAAGCTCTAATCGACAGTGGGATTCGTTACTGCCAGCCATCAACAATTGTTCATCTGTACAATACATTAACAGTGCCGAAGCTTATATATGGCCTTGAACTATGTAAATATGATACTAATTTTCTCAGCAAAATAGACGCTGTTGGAAGAGCAGTCTTAAAATCATTTTTCTGTATTTCGAAGTACAGTAAAAATTACCTTCATTCTTTTTTTTAAAATAGAAGATATCTCAACTATTCTCCTTAGGAACAAAGTTAATCTTTTTATCAGGCTGCTAAAAAATCAAACTTGTTACTCACTGATAATTAATCAAATACAGGAAACACAGAATAAAAAATCCATTACAAACGAAGTATTTGATGCATGCAACACACTTGATTTAAATTTCATACAGTGCATGTTAAATGGCAAAAAAATTAAATTGACGCAACCCATCGTAGAGCTACAAACTAATATTATGCTAATATTGAAAGAAACGTTCCAGTTTTGGAATTTAAAAGAAAAGAGAGAGGCGTTTAAAATCTTGATAGAGGAGAATGTTCCTAGAACTCTGTCCCAATAATATGTGGAAAACAAACCGGCTGTTTATAAGCATTTATTGCTAACAACTACAAGAGCCGTGTTGTTTTAGCTGATTTTTAATTTATTGTTTGACTATATTAAATATTATTTTACCTGTAATTTACTATCGGGTGATAAAGAGAAAATATAATATAATAATTATTAAATCAATATTTTTTTATTATTTTCCTGAAATAAGGCTAACGAATAAAGTTCACATTAACACCGGTCCATCAGAATTCCGATATTATCTTAGTTTCGATCTTAAATAAAAATAATCTTTGCACGTCTTTTTTGACAACTTTTTTGATTTATGTATATATTTTCCCAAGTTTTTGTGTTACAGTTTATTTAATGAAAGTCTATTAAATATATCGAATACTTCTTTGTTATTTTACTCTTGTAATGCACACTTGTAATCAACTGTTCAATTTCAAATGGACGGCATCATCACTGAGTTTCCAAAAGTAAAAATAATTAACAAATTTTTAAATTATGAAAATAGTTTATTTTGATTTTTTAGTTTTTTGAAAGTTTATTGATTTTACAAGCATTTTGATAATAATTCAAAACATTTTTTTGAAAAGAGTTATTACATTTTAGATACAAAATTTTAAATCAAACTTATAAAAACTCATTTTCTTTACTTTTTAAATGATGTTTTTGACAATAGTAGTCTTTTTAGTGTAATTTTACTTGAATTTATTCCTTTTAAATCTAGTTACCTAAAACTGTTCTTTTGTGTTGCCTAAAATTTCCTTTATTTTTTTTTTTATATGATTATTTTTTTTAAATTAATCTAAATTTTGCAGATGTTTTTATGGTCTTATATTAGTAGTAAAACATTTTCACTGTTTGAGATGTCATTGTGAGGAACTTCAGGGTTTTTTAAAGAAGTTTTTATTAGTCCTAGCATTAAATTTAATTAAAGAAACAAAAGTAAAAAGTATATAAATTATTATGCTGGGATGCAATACAATAAATACTCACTCTATTATTTTATATCACAGATAGTATTAAATAATACAGTGAGTATTCACCTGGCTTATCACTTATATACTTTAGATTTCTGTTTTATATGATATAGGGGAAGGCGGAATAGAGTGGAGTAGGACATTGAATAAAAGGTTTTTTCTTAAAGATTAAGATTTTGTTTATTATGATAATTTTTATTAGTGATTTAAAAAAAAAAGTGATTTTTATATTTTGGTCTCAAAAAAAAAAAAGTGCACATCAAAAAGGACTAGTTTATCATGAGCCTTTAAGATAGTTTCATGAAATCTCCTTGTTTCATTTACTTTGTTTCTTTTCAAAAAGTGCAGAACTTACCACTGTATATCAAGTCAGCCTTCATTAGGCAACTTATCACTGTTCTTGACGAAAAATTGTCACCTTTTAAGAACCTTTAAAGTCTTTTTCCAAAGAGCTCTACAGTAAGAGCTGTTTGTTTTGTCAAACCACATCAAAAAGATCATAGAATAATAATACCCTTGAATTAATTAAAGTTTAACTTTTAATTAATTTAAAGGTAACTTGGAATAAGCCAACTGTATAGTATATTGATGTATAGCTAAGATGCTAAGTTTGTTGTAAAATATTTTTGAGTCTTTCTAATTACTTTAAAATAATTTAAATCATGACTATATTAATATAATAATAATAATATAATGAATATAATTTTTACAATTATATCTGATGTGGTATCTCTTTGAGTTAAAGGCCTCAATAAAATCTAAAAAAATAATATCTACAGACGAATTTTGGGATAAAGGATATGTAATTAAGTCCATAGATTCTACTAAGATTTATGTTTTAAAAAAACCATGTTGATTCTGGTTCAATAGCTTTTCACCATCTGAAAAGTTTAGTATGCAGCCCTTTTTAAAGGGTTCAATGACCTTACATACAATAGGGTTATTCCACATGAAATCACCTAGTTTTTCAAAAGTGCCTCAGGGTACCACCTCAAATTTACTTTTTTGAAAACTTTTTTGAAAAAAACACAATCCTGAAAATTTCAGCATGATTGACCAAACTGTTCAAAAGTTCTAATTGAATCAATGTAGACCAAATTCGGCAAAATTTGAGTATCTGGAGCTTACAGTAGATTTTTTTGATTTTTAACAGATTATAACTTTTTAAATAAAATAGATGATGACCTGAAATTTTTTATGGTAATAGTTTTTCACCCAAGTTAGACATTTATATTTTTGCAGGTGTTTTTGACTGTTTTTAAACAATTTTTGTGTTCTTGTACCTTAAAGTTGTTAAATAACAAAATATTAGAAAAAATTTTGGAAACTTTATTATGCTACAGTTCAATACTAACAGACAGGCTGTGCCAATTTTTTCTTACTTTTGTGCACTTAGAGTAACCACTTTGCGGAAAAAATTATCTTTTAATAGTTATTTTCGTACTTGCAGCAGCCTGTTAAAATATTACTTTTTTAAATAAATACGATAAATTACATTCACTTTGTAGACATAAAAAATAGCATAGACAGTTAAAATAAACTATGAAACTTTTTACTGGTAAGGTTCTATATATAGACAACCACAAAAAAAATTTAAAGACCTATACTCTAAATAAAATCAAAAATAAAATTATCATTGTTTTAACTTAATTTATTTGATATGACTTTATAATATGTATTTGTTTAATTTTATGCATGTAATATAATTTAATGATATAATTCTCATATGGTTATATTTTGAGTGTAAAATACTTCAATTGCTTCAAGAGTTTGTATTAAAATCTGCACAGTATTTTCTGGATTTTATTATTTTAGTTTTTAATATTGCAAGAACCAAAAACTAAAAAGTTTTGTGTATGCAGAAATAGTTATATGTAGAAATAGTTTATTGGTTGCATTTTAGACAGTTTTAATCACATTAGTACTTGAGATTTCATTTTTACTGATTTTATTACTGGAATAACATAAAAAATTTTTTTAGAATAATAATCTTTAACCCATATTTTTAATATTTTAAGATTTGTAAAATGTCAGAGAAATGTTATTTGGGAAGAGTTTTAAATGAAGATTGTGATAAAATTTCATATTGTAGAATGGTAGGAAGATTAAGAATAAAAGATACTGATATTAAAGTTTTAATTCAAAGGATAGGAGATATGTTTCAACCATGAAAAAGCCTATATTTCTAGATATGAAGTACTTCAAAAATACTGTTGTGATCCATTCAAAGTCTACAAGAAAAAAATTATCAAAGGATTCTGTAAAGTATATATATATATATATATATACAATAGCATGTAGTAAAGTATATATATATATATATATATATATATATATATATATATATACAATAGCATATATATATATACATATCAATAGCAAATCAACTTAAGATCAAACTAAATTCAAACTTGAAAAAATTACAGTCAAGATGATGCTGCTGAAGAAGATTTTAATTATTCAGACCTTGATAAGACAGTTCTTAAAAAGAGTGTGTCTTTATTGGAAATATCTCCATTCAAAAATGTAAGTAAGTGCGACAATTTAGGATATGGAAAGCAAAAAGTTAAAAAAATTGCAACAAGTATAACAAACCTAGTAGCGTCAGCATTAGATATAGATCCAAAAGATATAGTATCGGAAAAAGAGCAAAAATGTATAAACTGTAATGATTTAGACAAACTGTTAGATATAATAAAGTATAAAATACAAATAAGTTCGAAGTAAGAAAAAGTTTAACTGCTAACACTAACTCCTGATAGTTGGTCAATAGAAAAAACTTGCAAAACATTTTCAGTTTTCGAACATATTGTTAAAAAAGTTCGAAAGTTGAAAAATGAAAAAGGAATACTTGCTAAACCTAAGACTAAAATAGGACAGCCATTGGAAGATATTGTTAAACAGAAAGTCATTGAAATTTATGAATCCGGAGTTCAAAAAGACAATGTCTAGGAAAAAAAGGTTTTGTTTCTGTGCATATAAATAATGTAAAAGTTCATAAAGAAAAATGTTTAATATTAGACCTATTCAAAGACCTTCTTGTTAAAAGACTAATTTTGATAGTTTTATTTTTCGATTTTATCAATGACTCAATCAACTAACAGTCGCATGCTTGGCCTTTACTATACTATCGAGGCCTGGGGGGGGGAGTAAATGAATGCAAGAGCAGAAAAAAAACTCTCTTAAAATGAACATGACGAGCCATGCAAGCTGCTCCTCTAAACGGCCTTTTATAAGAACTTGCGATTTTTGCGCAAGCTATCTGTTTATTCATTAAATAAATTGTTTATTAAATACAAAATTTGATTTTATACTTGAAACAAGTATAAGCTTGTAGCATTGTACATAGTACAATGCTACAAGTACATAGCACATAGCTTGTTGCAAGAATATATTTATAATGAGCATCATTTATTTTTTCTTGTTTTCTTAAAAATTTCTTTGACAATGTTTTCTTTAGGTTTTCACCTTAGCTATCATTTATTTTTTAACAACTTTACTTAAAAGGTTTAACAAACAAAGAGCTACAAATGTTTTTACTGTTTATAAAAGTATTTAATATTGGAAAGTTTAGTAAGAAGTTTGCAAATTATTACAATAATTACAGGTTCCACAACAAAAGTGTTTGTTAAGTGGTCTAATTACACCATATTTAGACTTTTTAAAAATGATTTTCATTAATAAACTTTACTTATAGTTTTAAAACCACATTGATGATTTCCATATATATTAATGTGCATCTACAAGCAATTCTTCAATAAAGTTCACAAATTTATAGCTCTTAATAATTTTTTTTAATTTTGTTTGATAATAATAAAGTTTTGTGATTTCCGACTTCCTTTAACTTCATAAACATGTATTGCGATGTTTTTTTGTTTACCTTATATTTTTTTGTTGTCTCAGTTTGCCTAATCGTTGTGTAATCAGGTATAAACCCTCCAACAATTTTTATATGTCCTTTTGTTTGGTGTGTTTATGAAGTGATGTGTTTGGCTTCTTTGGTAACTAATAATCGTCATACTAAACATTTTTTAACATTCCAAGAAATGCAAAAAGTTATTGTAAATCTCTAAGGTTTGTTCCTTTTCTCATTAATGGGTCTGATTTAACTTTAAAAGGATAAGACACTTATCCTGACATCCCAGCAAACAGGTTTTCAAAATCACTCTGGCTTCTTTTCCCTAAAGTTATTTCTCACCCTAATTTCTTGTATGTATTAGTGATCGTTTTGACAATCGTACTTCTAAACTTTATTTGCTGATAATAAAGATACACTCCAATTTTTACTTTTTAATACTTGTAATAGACATTCAGTATTAAATGTGATATTTCTGTGACAGCTTGTAAATTTTATCCTAAACCTAACTCAATTATATATTGCTAATCATTAATACATCAACATCATTAATACTGTTAATGTTGATATATTCTTTCTGTATTAATGTATGGGAACACTTTTACTAAGTCCTTTACTTTCACTACTGAACTGTTTTGAATACCATACCCAATATCGGATTCATTGCAAAGCTAATACCTGCAAAGTTCGCTGGTTTTTATTACATTTTCTTATTTATGATTCTATTCTCCTTTTTCAAAATTTTCAAATTTATTTTTGTATTAAACTACTGTTGACATATTTGACATTGTTTATGATGATTATGATGGTGCACTTTCTCTTTTAGACAAAGTAAATAATCTTTTGTAATCAAATGTTCATACATTAGCAAAGCGCTTTTAAATTAGGCAACAATTTACTTTTATTGATTGTTATTAAAAAGAAAATGTTTGATTTAATTTTTTAAATTATATAAATTAAGTAAGTTTAGTTTAAAATTATATAAATAATTATATATATAAAAATATAAATTAATTTTTTATTCTTTAAATGTAATTATTTTAAAAAGATTTATATTTATGAACAACTGCGTTTTTAATAAAATTTGAAAAATGATAATCAAAGTTAATAAAATCAATAATTGAATAAACATGCAGGAACTTACAGGCAACTGAACTAAACATGCATAAATACATAGTGATTTACGAATAAATGAACAGTGCCAGAAGGTCTACATAAATTTACATAAACATACATTTATATAAAGTGACTAACAGGTGAAACAGCAGCACGCCAAAGCCCCATACAGAACACAAACATTCAAATATATAACAAACCCCACTCACTAAACATCAGCTGGGTTATTGTGAAGCAGTTATGCTTCCTTTTCATAAATATTTTTTAGCTTTTTAGTTTAACCATAAAAGTTTAATTTTTAATAGTTTGATGCAATAAAAACGTGGTTTTAGTTTGCAAAAGACAAAATAAAATCATAATTTACTTAGAATGTAATATGCCCTTTATATATTAATTTATAGTATATATTATAGTATAATAAACCAATGGACTTAAGTAAAATATAAAGTTGTTAAATGTAGGCTGCTGTTTTAGGGGTCTGGCGCATTGCGGATTTTTTTAAACATTTTAAAGACACTGCTAAAAAAAAGATCATAATAATATTTTCATAACAACGCAACAATTTAATTATTTCTTTTGTTTAACTTAAGAAGATTTAATCATGCGTTTATCATAATTATTATTCTTATTGATTGCTTATCTTAAGAATATTTAATCATGTGTAGGTGTAGTGGTAGAGGGCTCGCTTTATAAACAAGAGGTTCAAAGTTCGATTCCCACCATGTCCCTAATAGTACCGCACTCAACTTGTTTCTCCGCGCAGCGGCCTTGTTCATCAAGTTCGTTTTTTGGAGTTATAGAGTTAAGAGAGGGTTGTAACCACAAGTAGCCTCCTCATCTGCAGTGGCCTTCTCGGCCTTGGGAGAGAATTACGAAGAAAAAAAAAAAAAAAGAAGAATTGTTTTAAATATTTTAAACTTTGCAAACTACGCAAAGCATGAAATGGTTATAAAAAAATATTTATTATATAATTCAACTACCATTAGTTTTATTAGAATCTTGTTGAAATAAAACATAAAAGTTGTTACTTTTTATAAAATTGTTGCTAAATTTTATAATAAAATTATAAAAGATAGAAATTTAGAAATATTTTATTCTAAATGTAATTTTTTTTGTTTCAGTTAAGTTTTTTTCTTTGTTAAAAATTCATTTCTTTTTCTAGTAATTGTCTCCGTCTAAGTTTTTTTTTGCACTTTTTGAAATGCTTTTAAAACATCTAAGAAGCCGTAGCCATGCTGTCACAACTAAATGTTATATGCGTGGTCAGATATAGAGTGCGATCGTACCCGCTTCCTGACCAAACCTGATTTGGTAACTTGTTTCATCTATCAAAGCACTACTTAGTGGTAATTTATTTAAAAAAAAGTGTGTAGACTTTTTTGAAAATCCCCAAAATCTATAAAAGAATGTGTCTTCCGAAAAGAAAATAAGAAACGACACAAAAGATAAATTTCATTAACCTTTGATTGTAGAGCAAGATAAAACAATTTACTGTTGTCAAGGATTCAATTAGAAAAATATTGAATGACATCCATAGTTGATTTTCAGTGATCAATAATTATACATTTTAACTGATATTGCTGCTTTTTTTATATGTACCAAATTAGCAACGCTTTTCCAAAAAGATGTAACTGTTTTACTTCTGAAGGAGTTTTCAAGTTTCTTGATTTGAGCTATTTCTTGACTTTTTGTATTGTAATAAAAAGTGTAGTTTCAAGAAAATGAAGCCAGAGCATTTTTTTAAGGTTTTACAGATATATTTTTAACCTAGAATTATAACTTTTGAATTTTTTTCAACTGATGCATTTCCAACAAAACTGCAAGCAACAAAGTAATTTAAGAGTTACTAGAAAATAAAGAAGTGTTAAAGAGCAAGGAAATAGTTTTAACAAGTTGAAGGTTGTATGAGATAGGAAAACATGAAGATTAAAGAGAGTTTTAAAGCATTGGAGTGCAAGAAAAGGTTTTATTACTGTATCAATGATAACTATAATTAATAAAGTTCTAGTTAACAAAATTGATTGAGTAAAAAATCTATTTTGTTAAATGAAATCAGTATCAAGCGTATATTGAGTTATTCAATGAGTTTTAATGCACAATGTTAGATGTTGTAAAAATCTGTGTTTATGTTTATTTTATGTAATTGATTATTAACTTGAAGTTAAATTGAAAACAATTTTAAAATCATATAATCAATAGTTCATAATAGGGTAACATGATTGGCTGAACATAAGAAATAAGATTTTTAAAATGCAATGTATTAGTCTAGAAAATAATCTAAGATAAGTTTTAATAAAAAAAAGTCAATAATAACTTTATATAATTTTAAATAGGTCAATTCTGTTCATTAAGCGCTCTAAGTAGTAGCATATTCCTTTTGTTTGTTTATGTATATAATCTCGATTATTCTAAAGGTCAAAACTAAGTTTTTCTTAGTTTTAGATCTAATAGAATAGTTTATATTTTTTATTTTAGGCATTTACAGAGCTAGCTTCACATTGTAAACAAAATAATTTTCATCGTAAAACAAGAGAAGCTTGTAAGACAAATGTGGCTAATGTTGTAAGGTATTCAATTGTGTTTACTCTAAAATTGTTAAAACACAGGACAAATGACTTCAGTAAAGCTAAGTAAGTTTAAACTATAATAATTTTTTTTTCTTCACTTCAAACAAGGCTGCGAGCTAACACTATTAGAGTTAGAAGTTACTGGAAGAAAAACAAAAAAAAATTTATAGAGCTTATAAATTTATAGATTAATATTGATTTTTTGTACTACTTCTGATTTATAAATTTCTATAAATTTATAAGTTTCTTATAAATTTATAGAAATTTATAGTACTTATTACTATAAATTTCTATAAATTTGATTAATATTTTAATTTCCGGAATATGAAGTAGTCTAATAATGGTATTAAATTTTTCAATCCAAACGATTCTAACGAGTATAAATTTTGGAACATTTACAAAAACAGCCTCTTTACACAACACATCACATTCCCTACTTTCCAGACAACCTATGGTTCCCTAAAAAGTATGTTGGACTTAATATTTACCTACAGCAATAATTCTATTTTAAATTTGTCTCCTATTGCTATACTAGGTAAAAACACTAAGGGTCACTTTAGTATTACCTGGAGAATCTTAGTTTCGCTTTTGCTTAGAACCGCTACCCAAAAACAAATCTCAATTGTTTAGTTACAACAAAGGTGATTATATTTCAATATCAAACTTTATTGCACCAATCGATTGGGATACTTTATTTCTACATAAAAATGCGGATCAAATGTTCAATATATTAATTCCTTATTATCATACTGCTTGCAGATTTTTTATCCCCAAGATTAAAAAAACAAAAAAAAGTATGATCCTGTGACAAAGGCTGTTAGAAGTTACTAGAAGAAAAACAAAAAAAATTTATAGAGCTTATAATTTTTAAAGGAGTTAGAAGTTACTAGAAGAAAAACAAAAAAAATTTATAGAGCTTATAATTTTTAAAGGAGTTAGAAGTTACTAGAAGAAAAACAAAAAAAAATTATAGAGCTTAAAAATTTATAGATTAATATTGATTTTTTTGTACTACTTCTGATTTATAAGTTTCTTATTTAATTATAATTTATAACGATTGACAGACAATGTAAAAGATTGCAAGTTATATAAATCAGAAAAACAAGATGGAAGCAAATATCAAAGAACTGATGTTTGAGGAAAAAAACTAGATGAATAAGAATTTTTGGAGCACTTAGGAAAAGTAAAAAGGATGAGAAAAATGATGAGTTAAAGGATAAGACTTAATTGAATGACGAGTAATGACACTGAACCATGAGAATGCCACTGAACCATGAGAATGACACTGAACATGAGAATAAATTTTAGTGGGAGGCACCAGAGGGACTAGCTCTTTAGAGCATTATAGTATTTGTAGAAAAAAGAAAGAGAAGCAACATTATGACAATGTGATAATGGTTGGAGGTTGGCTGCAAGAGCAGGTCCAACTATGTTTACAATGCGTTTTTGTACCTTGTTTAAAACAGAAAGAGCATCATTGGAAGATCTGTCCCAGGTATGGCAGCTGGTCCATACAAGGACAGATTTGAGATTTATAGACAAAAATAATAGGATCCATGTGTAAGAAAGTGGCGAGCATGATAAAGAGATGCAACTTTAGTAGATGCAAATTTTGCTATTGGTTTGATATATCCAAGAAAGATTGGAAGTAAGAGTTAATTATAGAAGATGAAAGGTAGATGGCTCATTGAGTATATTACCATTCATAAATATAGGAAAATCTAGATTATTGCGATAACAATGAAAAAATTTGTAACCTTTTTAAATTATTGTGCTGCATCAGTTTATTTAAATTCATTTTATGCCATTATTTATTAATAGTCTTGAGTTGTCTAGAATAATGGTTTTTACTTTACTGTTTCTAATACAAAGTTTCGATACAAAGTAAAACCTTTTGTTTGTTATCATTATCAAATTAGCAGAAACAAACAAAAAATCATCAGAATGTGAAGATTTTATCATAACAATTTTATCAGCATCAATATAAAATATCAAAATTGAATAAAGATCTTGCTAATGTTTGCAGTGGTACCATAATGATAGAACCTTGTGGTACCACAGAAGTTATTGAAAATAAGTGTGTTTTTCATCAAAAAAGACCAGCACACATCATACTTTTATAAAAGCTTTTGGACCAATTGCGCTTGCCTAACTGATTTTATCTAATGCATTAAAGAATCTTTTTGTTTGATTAACAAATCAGAAGCAGTATAAAAAGATCAGAATTAAAATAAACATAAAGAAATATAAAATTGATTGTCAAAACATGTTGCTTAAAATCTGCAATTCACCTCATGTAATTTGCATGTTTCATAACGAACAAATTATTATTCTTTATTATGCAATGCAAACTCATGGATTTTTTTAAAAAGTTGATAGTTATGTAGATATATTTCAAGGTATTTTTTTTTTTTATAAGGGTTTAGGGTTATCATTTGACAACTAAGGTATGGCTTATTGTTGTACAAACTTAGTACAAACTAGGACTTATAATGAGATATGAAAAGTTTGTTTATTAAAGACATCAAGACTAATACCAGTAAGAAGATCTAATACCAGTAAGAGTCGGAGTGATCTCCAGAATTTAAAAAGTTGGAACCACAGATAGCATTTATCAGCAGCCAAAAAAAAAAGTCAATTTTTTTACAATTAGTTCTGCCTTATCCTTGTGAGAAGGTAGTCCTTAGACCAATATATGGGATTATGTTGAACTTTTTTTTTGTAAATGACACTATGAAAGGTTTTTTAAAAGTCTCTAGAACCTAAATTTTGAGATAAAATGATGATATAGTAGTCTGGGTCAAAAAGACCTTAGCATTAGATAATTTCTTTTATCATTGATTTTTTAAAGAGAGTTGTTTTGGGGAAAATAACAAAAGAAATAATCACAATGGAAATAGCAGCTGCAGAAAATGAGGAAACCATGGGGCAGAGTAAGACTTGATTTTTAACTAACAAGAAGGAATAAATGCTTTTATATCTTCCTATATCCAGGAGATTAAAAGCTGGAAATGTGTTATTAATAAAGAAGGATAAAAGAATAAGATAAGATGTAGGAAAAAAAAGTTTTTAATCCTAACAGTTATAATGAGATCATATCATTGGTTTAAGCTGCTTTAAGTTAAATAAGGAGATGCTGAGCACAACACAAGGTTTAGGGACAAATAATCAAGGATCAATGATGCAAGCCACGCTAAATTAAAAATTTTTTATGCGTTTTGAAAAAAATTTAGTTTAGATTTATAAACTGAAGTTTTTTTATAAAAAATACTAATATTGTAACATAAAAAATTTTCCACCCCACCGTTTATTAAATCTGAACTGAAATTCCCACTTCCTTTTATCCCCCCCTCCCTTCCTTGTATTAAGCACTCAAGGGCATAGTTTATTTTTTGTAAGAGTATATTTTCTTTTTTTGTAAATTTTTTATTGTTTTCTTTTTTCATTCTTTTTTTTTTTGTTTTTTTTTTCCTATTTTAGGTTTAGCTAGGTTTTTTTTAAACACATTTCAAAATTGTTTAAAAATCTATCTAAACATCTAAACAATCATAGTCAAGTTGTTAATAAATTAAACCATTTGCGTGGTCAGCAATAGCACTTAATTGCACGCCATTCTTGTACAAGCCTGTTTTATTACAGTTTAGTTTTGGTTATTTTATGCGAGGGAGTTATTTTCTTAACTGTAAACTAATATTTTTATATATTTTTTAAATTAAAAATTATAAAAAGTTTTAACTTAAAACTCTTTATTTTCTTAAATTTGTTTTTAATTAAAAAAAAATTGTTAAAAAACTGTTGCTTTTTTTAACTAAAAATCAATTAGTTTACAATTACAGTTAAATGCTTCTACTTACGACCTAATATCTTTAGAATAAAATGTCACATATTCAACATCAAAAGATAATTTAAACATTATAAAAGATTTAAGTTTTTATGTAACGTAAAACTGCTGAAAGCGTAGGCAAATCGCCTTTTCGCACATAAAATGCAAGCAGCATAACGTTTCTTAACAAGACCTGTAAATTATATATATATATATATATATATATATATATATATATATATATATATATATATATATATATATATATATATATTATATATATATATGTATACATATATATATATATATATATATTCATATATATATATATATATATTTATATATATATATATATATATATATATGTATACATATATATATATATATATATATATATATATATATATATATATATATTCATATATATATATATATATATATATATATATATATATATATATATATATATATATATATATATATATATATATATATATATATATATATATATATATACATAATATATATATATATATATATGTATGTATATATATATATATATATATATATGTATATATATATATATATATATATATAGTATACTATATATATATATATATGTATATATATGTATATATATATATATATTATATATAATATATATATATATATATATATATATATATATATATATATATATAATATATATATATATATATATATATATATATATATATATATATATGTATATATATATGTATATAGTATATATATATATATATATATATATATATGTATATATATATATATATATATATATATATATATATATATATGTATATATATATGTATATATATATATATATATGTATATATATATATATGTATATATATATATATATATATATATATATATATATATATATATATATATATATATATATATATATATATATATATATATATATATAATATATATATATAGAGAGAGAGATATACATATATATATATATATATATATATATATATATATATATATATATATATATATATATATATATATATATATATATATATAGACTTATATACATACTTATATATATACAGTTAATTCCTGATAACTCGAACCTCCAAGAGACCAAGTAAAATGGTTCGACTTAACGAATGTTTGACTTAAGCGAAGTCCCGATAAGTCAAACTTTGACAGAAATGAGATATTAGTTCGAGTTAAGGCAATTTTTATTTATTCAATACTAAAGTATAAACATTAAATTTACACTATTATAGTAATAAAATGTGTGAAAAAAGTTCAGTGAAAAAAGCTACGTGTATCCGCTTGTATTACCTTTTCTGATAATTCTTTTTCCACAATTAAGTTTATTTGGTTTATACATTTATGAATACACTCCCCATTTTCACTGAATATCATGTAGCTTTGTAGTACTTTCAGGGCTTGATGTACATCACCCGATTGAGGGCAAGTTGGTTCAATCAAAAAGTCTACATCACTATCTTCATCTTTTTCAGTCTCAAAATTTTCAAAATCATCCATGGAAATGACATCTTTTGCTGTTGTTCCTTCAGGAAAGAACTCGGATGAATGAGCAGCAAGGTTTTTTTAACTGGTCTCCATCCATTTGACATCCTCAAAGAGATCATCCACATCTACCGAGGCATCAAAACATATTTTCTCTGAATTTCCAGCTTTAGCAAAACAATTGCAAATAGTTTCGGTCTTTATCTTCCCCCAAGCAACATCAAGCATTTGCATAGCATCCATTATAGTAAATTCCGGAAGAGGTTTTTTTTTTCTATTGCATCTATTAATTTTTGAACAGACAATGTTCTATAATGGGCTTTAAGTGACCTAATTATCCCCTGGTCCATCGGCTGTAGCTTTGAGGTAGTGTTTGGTGGTAAAAAAATTAGTTCTATTGATTCGAGATTATCAATGATTGGATGAGCTGGACAATTATCGACTAATAAAACAATTTTTAGTCCTTTCTTTGTAAATTGCTGAACAATATCATGAACTCATTCCTCGAATAGTGTGCCATCCATCCAACTTTAAAGGCAGGGTAAATGCTTTACATTTTTAAAGCATCTGGGCAATTTAGCTTTGCCAATAACAAACATTGGCAATTTTTTCCTTAATGCATTAGCAGATGCCAATCCTGTAAGATGTAGTTTGCTGTGTTTCCCACCGACACATTTTTCATTTTTAAAATGTAAAGATTTATTTGGTTGGAGCCCACAAAACAAGCCAAATTCGTCAGGATTTTAAATTTGGTTCAACTTATATTTTGATAAAATGGTTGGTAATGTGGTTTCCTCCCATAGTGCTACCATTTCACTTGTATATGCATTAGCTTTACCAGAAACCATTTTAAATGATATGTTGTATTGCCATGTTACAAACTTTGAGTTTAAAAAGAAAATGTTCACCCTGTACACTTAAAAGATAATATTCGAAAAGTTTAGCAAAAAAATGCAATACAATGTCTTCCTTAAAGTATTTTATGTTTTATATGAAATGACTTCTTAAAAAAAAAAATTTAATCAAGTTATTTTGATTTCATTATTTCCCATACAAAAAATTCGAGTTATCCGAAGAAATTTGTTGAAGGGGGACAATAAAAGTTAACCTGTGGAAATTGGCTGTACTTATATATGTATATATATATATATATATATATATATATATATATATATATATATATATATATATATATATATATATATATATATATATATATATATATATATACATATATATATATATATATATATATATATATATATATATATATATATATATATATATATATATATATATATATATATGATGTCACTGTATTTTATTAACGGTTTGTATAGTACATGGCTGATGATTGCCGTATAGGCATGAAACTATTAGTCCCATGAAAAGTTGTTTTTTCTATATGTAAATAAAAATAAATATATATATATATATATATTTAAACATATATGTTTATATATATATATATATATATATATATATATATATATATATATATATATATATATATATATACACTTATATATATATACATATTTATTCATATATATATATATAAATATATATATATATATATATATATATAATATATATATATATATATATATATATATATATATATATATATATATATATATATATAAGTATATATGTATATAAGTATATATTTATATATATATATATATATATATATATATATATATATGTATGTATATATATATATATATATATATATATATATATATATATATATATATATATATATATACATATATATATATTTAAGTAATTTATAAGTAGTTAATAAAAGTATTAATTATTATGATAACACTATTAATAATTTAACAAAAATATTGTTATTATGTTTATCAACTAAACCTGCTTGTGAGGTTTTTTGTTGTTATTTTTATTTGTTTGTTAATAATTAATCAATATAATTTAATAACATTATCATTAATTATGCAGATTATTTAGTAATGTTTTTAAATATTTTTGTTTTTATGTTTTTTAAGTTTAAAGGTTGCTAAATGTGTTGTAATTGGTAATTTATCAGTGGGAAAGACAAGCCTTATAAACAGGTACATTTAAAATTTAAAATTGTTGCCTAAATAAAGTCATGCGAAATTTGTTTTTTTTTACTATCATAATGCCATTTTGATTGATGGGCTAATAATTTAATTTATGGGTTGATAGTTTAATTTATTGGGTTAATACTATGTCCTGTCAAATTATGTCAGATGTTTTAAAACTGCAACAAATCTCATCATGAATCACTATAAAGTTGAGCAGCTGAAACTTAAAGCAGCTGGAAAGTTTTAATTCAGAATGTTGCTACAATGTTTCTACAATGTTTCAATAATGTTTTCAATATTATTGAAATCTAAAGTATTGGTTTCACACGTTTATGGATAAATTGGTGCATACCAAGACTAATCTTGAGTAATTAGCACTTACTTGGGCTTAATACCATTACAACAGTAAATAGTGACTTCCCCAAATTTTCAACTAGTCTTTATGATAAATTGAGTTGGCATTAGACAAACGATGGCATTGGTTAGTTTAATGCTAAAAAAAGTTTTGCATAAATAAATTAAAGCTGGATTGACTACCTTTGTATATAAATTAAATTTGTGAAATTTATCAGCAAGACTTTTACAAAAGTCTTGCATGACTTGCAAGGCTTTTAAAGCCAGGCTTTAAAAAGCTAAACAGATTTTTCTTTAAAACTTTTTTGTATAAATTACTGATTGGGCATATTTTAAACTTTTTTTGACATATTTATATTTCTATAAAAATTTATATTTTTATAGAAACCACTTTTTATTAACTTTCTTAAGTTAGTAAAGTCTTTTTGTCTTTTGTAATTTTTGAAAAAAATTTAAACAATCAAAAATGGCAGACTTAATGATATAAAAAACTATTTTTTAGCGATAAAACACTAATTAGATATGGTAATTGTAGGTTAAGCTTAATTTTTTTAATCGTTTTTTTAGGTTCAGGCACTAAAAACATCAATAATGAACATATCCTGAAAATTTGAAGCTAAAATAATGTTTTTTTATTGAGATATCATTGTTTTGCTACAGCTACCCGTACAAAAAACAAAAATTGAGAAAAATCAATTTTAAAATTATAAATCAATTATATTACTCAGATAAATAAATTATTTTTGAAAAAATATTTTTTCTATTGAATTCTATAATGTTCAATTGTATGAATAACATTTTTTCAAAATTTTCATTTTTTTTTTATTTTTCACCAAAATAATGGCTGGATACCACCTTAAAAAAGTTTAAATTTTTTAGGCAAAGGCTAGGAGAAGTTAACTCCGAATTAAAACACCCCCTGCCTTGGGGCTCTTGGTTGAGTAAAGGCTAGAGATGGTGTCTCGATAAAAATACTCATCTTGGGCAGATGTTACATGCATCCAGCTGCTGTCTTGTAGAAGGCCTCCTAGGCAAAGACTTAAGGGGTAAACAGATTCTATCTGTTGACCAGCCTCGCACCCCTTCCTCATCTATTAGGCTGGCGCAGATGTATTTTTAATACATTGTTTCCAGTTTAGGATGTTGAACGCTGGATCTTCTTGACTCAATGCGTGGGTATTGCTTGTGTCTCTATTTTTATGACTGGGCAACTCATTCTATTATCTCCTAATGAGGGTACAGCTCTAAAACTCAGTTTTATGGTTCTGAGGCCGGCTGGTAGTCAGGTTTCCCGAACTCTGTGGTAGCTCTCAGAGAGGCTGATTCCATCAACAGCCGAAAAATATCAGAGTATTAACAGTGCCATGTTGCGCATGGATGGTGTCCCTGTTTGTACTTTTGGTGTGCATTGCAGAGGCCACATTTGGAGCCCTTTGTTACGGCTTAGGGTTTATTAATAGTAATGAGGCTATTGCTTAGTTGTTAAATAGTGTACTGAGTACTATCTATACTTGAGTCAAGTTCTTTATAAATTTAAAATGACTAAAGTACCTAAAACTAAAAAACACAAAAAACCATCGTCATCACCAAGTTCTCTAAACCTATCATTTACTAATATTCGTGGTCTTCGAAGTAACTTTTCTTCTGTTGAGTCTTATCTCTTGCAAAGTTCACCAGACCTACTTGCTCTTTGTGAGACTAATTTGAGTTCGGCTGTCCCATCTTGTGATCTTAGTGTTGATGGTTATCTTCCTTTAATTCGTAAAGACTCCAATAATCACATGCTTGGCCTGGGCATCTACATTCGTAAGAACTCACCCATTTGTCGTGAAACTAGGTTTGAATCTACAGACTATTCATTTATGTGCTTTCGTTTAGCACAACTTCACTCTATCGCCTTTCTCTTTGTTCTATATCGCTCTCCTTCATCCCAAGATTGCACTATTCTTGATGTTATTTCTGATCAAATTGACCAAGCCCTCTCTCTTTATCCATCGGCCAATATCGTCGTTGTTGGTGACTTTAATGCCCATCACACCGATTGGCTTGGCTCTAGTGTCAGTGACTCTGCTGGCGTTAAGGCCCTCAACTTTTGCCTTTCTCAATCTCTAACTCAAATAGTCAACTTTCCAACTCGTTTTCCAGACAACCCTAATCATTTACCTTCTCTACTCGACTTATGTCTTGTTTTGGATCCTAGTCAGTGCTCAATTTCTCCACATTCACCCTTAGGTACTTCTGATCACGGTTTGATCTCTCTAAAACTATTATCAAATTCTTCTACTTCATCAGAATCCCCCTATCATCGTACCACATACAACTACCTTAAAGCTGACTGGGACTCTTTCCGTGATTTTCTTCGTGATGGCCCTTGGGTAGAAATCTTTCGTCTTCCTGCTGACAAATGTGCTTCTTACATAACTTCGTGGATTCAGGCTGGCATGGAATCTTTTATTCCCTCTCGACGATTCCAGGTTAAGCCTCACTCTTCTCCTTGGTTTTCCTCACATTGCGCTGCAGCAATTTCTAATCGAAACCGTTACTTCCATATCTATCAGCAAAACAATTCTCCAGAAAACAGACATCTGTTCACTATCGCCAGAAACCATTGTAAAAAGGTTTTGTCTGACGCCAAAGCTCGCTATTCCCAGGTCATTAAATCTCGTATCTCATCACAAAAATTAGGCTCTCGAGACTTCTGGAGAATCTTTAACAGTATCAATAATAAGGGCAAATCTGTTATTCCTTCTCTCTTGTATGGTTCAGACTTTGTCACCTCACCTAAAGACAAAGCTGAATTGTTTGCTAAGAACTTTTCATCAATATCATCTCTTGATTCCACTAGTTGCGTTTTACCTGACATAGCCGTCAAACAGGTTGATCCCTTGCTTGACATTCACATCACTTCAGCTTCTGTATCTAAAGTAATTTCCTGCTTAGACTCTTTAACAGCTTGTGGTCCTGACAACATTCCTGTTGTAGTCTTCTCTCCGGAGCTTTCATCCATACTTTCTAAACTATTTAACAAGTGCTTATCAGAGTCTTGTTTTCCATCATGCTGGAAAGCAGCATCTGTTATCCCTATTTTCAAAAATTCCGGAGAGCGATCTGATTCATCTAACTACCGTCCCATTAGTCTTCTTCCTGTCATAAGCAAGGTTTTTGAATCTTTAATCAACAAACACTTAATCTCTCATCTTGAATCAAATAACTTACTTTCTGATCATCAATATGGATTTCGGTCTTCTCGTTCTACAGCTGATGTGCTAACAGTAATAACCGATAGGTTTTACCGTGCATTAGATAGAGGTGGAGAGGTTAAGGCTATCGCACTCGACATTTCTAAAGCTTTTGATAAAGTTTGGCATGCTGGTCTTCTCCATAAGCTTTCTTCTTATGGTGTAGCTGGTAACGTCTTTAAGATTATTGAGTCCTTTCTTTCCAATCGTAGTATAAAAGTTGTCCTTGATGGACAACACTCTTCTTCACATCCTGTAACTTCAGGGGTTCCTCAAGGTTCAATCCTTGGTCCTATACTCATTTACTCTTGTCATGATAAGAAGCCTACACTCTCTGATTGCTTGGAGGGGGTATCTGAGCTTGAAAAGGATCTCACTTCTGCTACAGCATGGGGCTCACAGTGGCTGGTGAACTTTAATTCAGATAAAACTCAATTTTATTCGGCCAATCGTTATCGTAATAATTTAGATCTTCCTATATTTATGAATGGTAATGTACTAGATGAGTCATCTACCATTCATCTTCTAGGATTAACTCTTACTTCTGATCTTTCTTTTAAACCGTATATCAAATCCATTGCAAAATTAGCATCTGCTAAGGTTGCATCTCTTTATCGAGCTCGACACTTTCTTACTCCAGATTCTATTCTCTATCTCTATAAATCTCAAATCCGTCCCTGTATGGAATACTGTTGCCACATCTGGGGCGGATCTTCTAATGATGCTCTTTCTCTTTTAGACAAGGTGCAAAAACGAATTGTAAACATAGTTGGACCTGCTCTGGCAGCCAATCTCCAACCTTTGTCACATCGTCGTAATGTTGCTTCTCTTTCTCTTTTCTACAAATACTATAATGGGCACTGCTCTAAAGAGCTAGCGTCCCTTGTGCCATCTACTAAAATTCATTCTCGTGTTACTCGCCATTCAATTAAGTCTCATCCTTTTTCTGTGACTGTTCCTAAGTGCTTCAAAAACTCTTATTCTTCTAGTTTTTTTCCTCGAACATCAGTTCTTTGGAATTCGCTTCCTTCATCTTGCTTTCCTGATTCATATAATTTGCAATCTTTTAAGTCATCAGTCAATCGTTATCTTGCTCTACAGATTTAGTCTTTTCTCTTCCAGTAACTTCCAACTCTTATAGTGGTTGCTTGCAGCCTTGTTGAAAGTGAAGATGTTAAAAAAAAAAAAAAAAAAAAAAAAAAAATTTTGAATCGATTTTTTTTTTTCTTTTGCAATTATCTATTTGTCATGTCCAACTTTATATAAATAAAAGAACTCAATTAATTAAAATTTGTGTTAGATTTACTCAAATTTGTATTTGCAGTATTTGAAAAATAAAAAGATATTATAGATGCAGTGTTGATTGTATATTTTTCAGAATATATTTAGCTGAAAGCTGTTTTAAAAAAAACATCAATATTTTCAGATATTGCAGAAACTTATTTGAGAAAGACTACAAGCCGACTATTGGTGTAGAATATGAATTGCGCAAGTATGAGATATTAAATCAAGAATTTCATTTACAAATGTAAGTAAATTTAAATTTAGTATCTGTAGCAATGAACATGTGTAATGTAGATGTATAGTCGTAGCAAAAAGGATGTATAGACATAGCAAGGATGATGTATAGACATAGCAAGGTAGATGTATTGACATAGCAAGGAAGATGTATAGATAGGTAAGGAATATGTATAGACATAGCAAGAAAGATGTATAGACAGCAAGTAAGATGTATAAGATCTATAGACATACCAAGAAAGATGTATAGACATAGCTCGGAAAATGTGCAGGTATAGCAAGGAAGATGTATAGACAGCAAGAAAGATATAAAGACATAACAAGAAAGATGTAGAGGCATAGCAAGGAAAATGTATAGACAGCGAAAAAAATGTACAGATATAGCAAGAAAAATGTATAAACATAGGAAGATGTATAGACAGCAGGGAAGATGTTTAGACATAGCAAGAAAGATGTATAGACATAGCAAGGAAGATGTATAGACATACCAAGAAATATGTTTAGACATAGTAAGGAAGATGTATAGACATATCAAAGATGCTTTTACAGACATGCATTAGAGCAACCCGTAATTTTTAAAAATCATATTTTTTTTTTGTTTTTTTAAGTTTGTTGCGTTTTAGATATTTTAAGATAAACTTAAGCTCATGACCTCTAAATATAATATGTTTCTGGACACGATTTAACTCAGTCTGCATTTAAACCCATTTTAATGTCCCTTTGTGTTCCAGGAAATATTAGATTGACATAAAATAATTTTTTTTAAGTTTAAGTTTGTTTAGTTTAGTTTGCCACCATTTAAATTTAGAAAAAATTACTAGTTCTAGTTTTTTACAATTTGCACTGTTGTTTGTAAAACATGCCAAGTTGATGTTTACTACCAACAAGCCTGCAAGTTGTTAAATTTTATTATTCTATTATTAAAGTTTGAAATTAAAAGAAAACAAAGAAAAGAGTAAAGAAAGCAATTGATAAAAGATTTGAAGAAATAAAAAAAAATGCAAATTGTATGAGTCAGGAAAACATGAAGAAGGAAAAAGAGGGTTCCAAAGCATTGATGTATGAGGAAAAAGACTAAATAAAATTTTTAAAGCATCAAGAAACAGTTAGAGTTAAAGGACACAATCTAGGTGAATGAGTTACCCAACATAGAGATTTTGTTGATGGAACAAGTGTTGATAGCTGGTTTCAGCAGTGATTAGGACATTTTTTAAAAAGAAATAGAGATGCAAGTGTACAACGATTGAACAGAGGCTCAAGCTTGACAACCAAAGCCAACAATAATTTAATACTTCGCAGTTCCTATAACATAATTTAGATCTTGTCTAATAGAGAGAGGGCTTCATTAGAAATACCAGCCCAATTATGGGAATAGTGTTTCATATAAGATTGAGTAAGAGGTTTATAAAGGTAAAGAATCAAGTCACTAGTGAGAAAATGGTGAGCATGATAATTAGTATATTATTATATTATTATTATTATTATTATTGTAGATTATAATAAAAAAAGACACAAAGTAGAGGACTAAGTATGAGTATTGTCATTCATTAATATAGGAATATCAACAATTTTGGAAAAATTGTTGGGAATAAATGAGTTTTTCACCAGCCACTGCAGGAGACTATGAAATTTTTTTATTTCTCTCATAAGTTGTATCAATAAATGTAAATTAAATAAACTAAATTAATGCTACTTTTTTCTTTTTACAACTGAAGTTTAACAAATAATATATCAATGATATTGATTTTATTTTGATGCCAGTGTTAGGGTAAGGACTAAACATATATATCAGTTTCAGTACAAGTTATATATTTTTGCTGACACTGAAGCAGAAATTATCTAGTCACTATTGACTAATAATTTAATTGTCAATTGATGGAGCTTAAAAGTAAATAATATTTTGTTTATTAAGTTATTATTTTACCTTTTTGTTATTTATATATACAAGCAGTTTTTAAGTATATTATATCTTTTGCATCAAAAGTCCAAAGAATAGTCTAAAAAAGATTTGTTTATTTGTATTACTAAAGTAATCTATTTGTTAAGAAAGGAAAAAGACTTTTACAACTTATTTTTGAAGATTTTAATATTGTCACTGTTGGTACAAAGCACTTCAATCAACTGTCCCTGGGTTGCATTAAAAATTATGCATTATTAGTTGTGGACAATAAATGTGAAATAATCGTTTAAACTGATGGCTTCATTTAAACTAGATAGCTGCAACAGGCCATGTTAAAAAGCGTTATGATATTTAAATTTTATGTACGTATTCACAATTTCACGTATGCGTTATGCAATTTACGTTACTCAAATACTTTTTTCAATTAGTTAATTTAAACAGTCTTTTAGAACTGTTTATGCAAAAAACATTAATTAATGATTACAACTAATTTCAACTTGTTTCTCCGTGCAGCAGCCTTGTTCGTCAAAGTTCGTGTTTTGGAGTTATAGAGTTGAGAGAGGGTTATAACCACAAATAAGTAGCCTCCACGTCTGTAGTGGCTTTCTCAGCCTTGAGGAGGTGAATTGAAAAAAAAAAATAAAATAAAAAAAATTAAAAAAAAATTAACACGGTAACTGTTGTAAAAAACATATGCAGAATATTTTTGTTTATTAGATAAAGAAACAGATAAATAAATAAACATTTTTCTATTTTCTGTGTTTTTAAAAAAATTATTTTCAAATTATTAAATTTAGATTAAATTTATTATTAAATATAATTAAATATAAATTTATTTTATTAAATTTAATTAAAATTCTTTTAAAAGTTTTAAAAAGTTTTGTTTTACTATTTTTTTTACTGCTAAAACTTTCAAAATATAGTTTAAAACTATGTTAAAGTAAAAAAAAAAATAGTTAATAAATTAAATTCTAAACTTTAAAATGTTCGTATTACATATAACTTTACTTTTCATTTCAGTTTTTAAATTGCTTTTTAACTTTATCGTTAATTTTCTGAATTAATCATATGCTGAACGTCAATTAAAAATGATTAACTAGTTTATGAGTAGTATACAAAGGTTTTGTTAAAGCCAAAATGTTAAAAAAAAGGTTGATGGTTTTTATTAATTTTCTGACTGTTAAAGTGAAAAACTTTATAATTTTTAATGCCATTTTTTTTTCTTAAAGGTAAGTTCCGGCTCCATGATTAAAAAAATAATACTGGTCTAATTAATGTGTTTTTGTAGTTAATAAACGGCGTCAATACAAAAAAGTTCTTTGAAACTCGAGTTATGTTATGTTTGGGTTTTCTTTGCCGTTAAATTTTATGTAGAAGAATTTCATTACTTTTTTATGAAACGAACTGAATAAAAATAACACAATCAAAAAGTAAACGCTTTAAAAGCCTAACTTATATTTAAGTTGGGCTTTTGTTTGATGTAAATATCTTTATTGAGTAAAGTTACATTTATTCACGTTACATTATTCTGCTACGCAACAAAATCTCATAACAAAGCCTGCTGCATGTCACATAGTTAAACCTACAAAAATCTCGACCTACTAAGTTGTTCTACAAAAAGAGTATCTACTAAAAAATGGAACTAATTTTCAGATAACTTACTGAGGCCTGATTTATTTTGAACTGAATATAGTCTTTTTTTTTCAATCGATATATGTCGTTTTCATTTTCAACCGATTTGAGATAAATTAATTTTAAACCAATTATCTGGTCTGTGTTTTTAACCTTGTTTTTTTTTAACTACGAATTTTTTTTTTTTTAATTAACAATTTAGCAGGTTGGAAAGTTAGTAGTACATGTTTTAATTAAGTGTAAATATAAAAATCGAAAAATTGATAGTTGAAATCAAAAACGTCATCTACAATTTATGAATTTTAAAAATTAGGTTGAGTTATAGGCTACCCCTCATTATTGAAATGTTTTATATTAAATTTAAGGTGTAAATATTTTGTTACATTAGTTATAATTTATAAAATTATTATTTAAAACAATTATTAAAATAAAACCTTTTACATTTATTTTAGGAAATAAATTAATTTTTTGCATAATTTATACCCCAAGCGTAAAGCAATATGTAAATTTTATTAGTTTTTAAATGCATGTTTAGGTGGGATACTTCTGGAGAAGAACGTTTTAAAAGCATAACTGGTTCTTACTATAGAGGTGCCAATGGTAAGTTATGTTTTAATAATTTTCTCCATAAATTAATTTTATTTAGATGATATCACCTAAACAAACATAAAAATATAAAAGTAAATTTTATATAGTTTTTTTTTCATTTTTTATTTTAATATTTGTAATTTGAAAAGTGGCTACTAAGTTAATAAATAATAATTTACTCATTATTTTTTTATATTTGTAAATACTTAAATTGACTATCTAAGAGTTTTATAATTATGGGTATTTATCATAGTGATGGTTACCTATAATTATAAAACTATTATAATTAAATTTTAATAAAAATCACAATATTTTTTATTCTTGACATGTTTCGTAGTCTTACTACATTTTCAAAAGACTTAATTTACAATTAAAACTCTGGTAAATAAATTTAAAAACTGAAGACAATACAGAGAAAAAATTAATTTTTTATTAATTTTAAGTCCGTTAATTTTTTCTCTGTATTGTCTTCAGTTTTTAAATTTATTTACCAGAGTTTTAATTGTAAATTAAATCTTTTGAAAATGTAGTAAGACTACGAAACATGTCAAGAATAAAAAATATTGTGATTTTTATATATATATATATATATATATATATATATATATATATATATATATATATATATATATATATATATATATATATATATATATATATATATGTATATATATATATATATATAAAATTTATATATATATATATATATGTATATATATGTGTATATATATACTCATATAGTGTCGCTTTAAGAGCCTTTTAATGTAAAAAAAGTCTCTTACGACTACAATTTTAATTACCTCGTCTCTTAAGCTGTTTTTGATTGTCATCGAAATGTCAAAGCAATTAATTTATGTGGAAGTACATTAAATTTAATTGTTTTTTAATAAATTTTTAAAAAACCGCAATTATAACGACTAGAAAGTTTTTTTTAATTAGTGGTGTTTTTGTTATTGATTTAATAAAAAACATATTTTAAACATGCGTAAATGTTGCTACATCGACTATCTTATAGCCTGACTCGCAACTGAGTGCTGCTACATCGACTGACAAATAGCCTGACTCGCAACGGAGTGCGGCTACATCGACTGACAAATAGCCTGACTCGCAACGGAGTGCTGCTACATCGACTGACAAATAGCCTGACTCGCAAAGGAATGCTGCTACATCGACTGACAAATAGCGTGACTCGCAAGGGAGTGCTGCTACAACGACTGACAAATAGCCTGACTCGCAAGAGAGTGCTGCTACATCGACTGAGGGTTTGGTTTGGCCAGGCAGTCTATCAATTAAAAAAAAAAATTTAATTTTTAAAACTTTTTCTGGTCTGGTTTATTAACGCGCTCTTTAAAACTACAGTTTATGGGAAATATTTTTTGATGCTACGCAAGAGACATGCAAGACTATATATATATATATATATATATATATATATATATATATATATATATATATATATATATATATATATATAATATAAGTATAGTTTAATATAAGTATAAATAATATATAATATGATAGTATATATAAATAGTATAATATAAGTAAGATTTAAGTTTAAAAATCATTTAGTTTTGTATCTTTGTTATGTATCTTTGTTATATTGTCAAGTTTTGTTAAGTATGTTACTAGTATAGTTACTAGTAACTATACTTCCCCATAATTCCTTATAATCTCCACTTAGTGGGGACTGTAGTGTACTGTACACAGCATTATAATAATAAAAAGTATATAAGTACAAAGTAAATAAAAAATTAAAAGTAAACAAAAAGTATTTACGTAAATAAAAAGTATTTTTTTAATTTAAAGTTTCTTAATAAAATTAAATTAAATCTTTTGATATTAATGTTAATTGTTCATAACAATTTGTATTATTTTATATTTTTTTATTTAGTGGTATTTGTTGTTTTTGATTTATCATCTGTAAAATCGCTGACAAGTTCAAGGTGACTTTCTTATTTCTAGTTCATAAGCATTATAAGCATTCTTGTTTCTAGTTTATAAACACTATAAGCATTTAATATAAACAATAACCAGTCAATATAAGTAACAGGAAATCATTGACTAGCTAGATTTTCTTTATTTATAAACAATGTTTGGCCACCACTAAATAAAACTTTTGAAATAAGCAGAGAATTAATCATCACCTTAAGTTTATAAACTAAAAAATTTGTGAGTATATATATATATATATATATATATATATATATATATATATATATATATATATATATATATATATATGCACTTTGATGACGATTCTTCTTATGTATTCATTTGACTTGATTGTTGATGTGAATTTGAACTTATCAAATACAATGCATTTCTCATATTTGTTCAGAACATCGGTCACAGCTATTATTTAAACTTTGTTATTTTGATTCAGTGCAAGTGATGTTTTTTTATTATTATGAACATTGATTTAGTTAAGATTTTTTCTAATAAATTTTTTTTTTTATTACTGCAACACACATTCTTACATTTTGATTAAGGTGAGTTTTCACTCATCCGTTTTTTTATGGGAACGTATTATAAGTTTTAATTTGTAAACTACGCATGCTCAGGTGTAAAACTACGCATGCTCAGGTGATTATTTTTCCCTTTCCTATCCCGTTCCCAAAAAAAACCGGATGAGTGGAAACTCACCTTAAACAACCTAAAACATCTCTTCCCCGTTCATAAACTATACTTTATGTTTTGGTAAAAAAGCTAATTTTGAAAAAAAACATTCTAATTTTAATAATGTACTGCCTTCTAAGCCAATGCCTAGAAATAACATTAATATTGATAGTTACCCATAATTATAATAATTATCATAATTATTTCTAATTATCCATAACGTGACTATAATTTTTTAAATGGCACGCAAAAAATTTTTCAAACCAACAAAATAAGATCTTGAATTATAATTTAGTAAAAGAGGTCTTCTTTACCTAGTATATTTTATTTAAAGTTTCTAATCCTTTCTTTTTCATTAAAACTAAAAAACAACGACTTGAATCATGTTTCTAATGTTTCTAACGGAGAAATAAAAATTTTAAAAAGCGTGCGATGTTATAATTTCTGCTTTAAGTACCTGTAACACCGCAAACCATGCATTATAAAATTTTCATATTTTTGTCACAAATTTTAAAAATAAAAAATTTAATAAAAATAAATATTTATAAATAATTAAATGTTTAATGTCAATGAATTTGTCATGTCATAACTTTTTAATTAAATTTTTTCATAACTTTTATAAATAAGATTTTATGCTGGTAAATAAGCTTTATCATTATTTATTTATTTTTATTATTATTTTATTATTATTTCTTATAGTGAATGGTTTGCAGCTGCTATTGAAAAAACACAAAGCACAACTCCAGAACTTTTTCTTGTTGGAAATAAAGTTGATATCATGGTATTCATTTAGTAGTTGCCATTCTAAAAAAAATTTTTAGAATGGCACGTTTGTCAGCAATAGTGTTATATTTGTGGTATTTGTTTAGTAATTGCCTTTTTAAAAAAAAGTTTTTTTATTGTCAGCATTAGTGTTATAGTCATTTCATTTTTTATTTGTTAATTTATTTTCTTATTTGACCAATTGGTCGTTTATTTTTCTTTTTTAAATGATCATTTTTCCTTCCAATTTTGAACAATAAATCTTTTTTTAAAACTCTTTGCTTTTAAATTTTTTTTTAGAAAAATGTTGATTTAGAAGAAACACGTGAAATAGCAATAAATCTTGCAAATGAACATAATGCTGAGTACTGGGAAGTATCTGCAAAAACAGGTGAAAAAACATTTTTTAACAACGTCGGTTATATATTAACATTAACAAATGATGTGAAATTATTATTTTTAATCTTTTTTTTTCCTTTTGTTTTCCAGGAGAAAATGTTAGAGAGCTTTTCACACGTGCTGCTGCACTATGTTTTGATCAAGCAGTTTTACGAGAAACTGAAAGTATATCTACTAAGATACAGATGGGAAATGGCAAGTTAATTGCAAAGGATAAGACAAATGATAATATCGGTTATTTATTTTTATTTTTTTATTCTTGATTTTTGTTAAAGTGTTTTTAGCAGTCTGAACAAATTATTGTTATTATTGCAAACAAAATTTTTACCTAAGATTGTTAAAATGCATTTGTTTACAAAGTTCAATTTTTTTCATTTTTATTGATTACATTTTTATGTATTATTTGTTAATTTAGTTTTAGCACGTAACATCGAATGCAACGTTGAACCATCAACACAGTTTTATGATAAAAAGTCATCGAATTGCTGCAAATAGATTTACTGTGTTTTAATTTTTTTATAAAATTTTTAATAAATTGTTAAAGTAAATATATATAAATATTAATATAATTTAAATAGAAGAAAAAAAAGATTTATATTTATTAAACTATGTACTTTTTACCAGATTCATTTTATTATAATATATTGTATTTTAATTTATTATAAATTGTATTCTTTTTATTTATTTACATACGATTTATTTATTTACAAATACAGATATCTATTATTGTAAGTTATATTATAAATTTTTTAAAAATTTATAATCTATGTGTATGATAATTTATATATATATATATATATATATATATATATATATATATATATATATATATATATATATATATATATATATATATATATATATATATATATATATATATATATATATGTACATATAGGGAAGAGTTACCTTAATTGGAATATTTAAGGAATAAATATTTATATCAAAGATGGCTTAACTATGAAAACACTTATTATTTATTAATACAAACAAACAACCCTACTATACTTTTAACCATTATTTGACTTAATTGATTGCACTATTATTAAAAATAAATTTGTTTTTGCAGAAAATTTTTTTTATATTTACAGTGAAAATTTAAACAGTTCATTCAAAACTTATAAAAGGATTAATATTACCTTGGCAAACTGAAATTCTAAAAACAAAAAGTTATATAAAAGCTTCAACTGTTATGATGTACTCTTAACTTATTGATTAAAAATCATTATAGAAAGCATTATTTTTAAAGTTGATGGTTGTTATTAAGTATTTATAAATTGCGCCTGAACTATTTCTACAGGCCTTTGATTTTATTAATGAATAAGTAAGATAAACTTTATAGTTGCAATCACATAAAACTTTAGACTATTTTGTTGTATCACTGCAATATCATGCTTCCAGCAACTTATAAGATAAGTTTATATTGTTATTTTGCATTTAAAATCTCATTGAATCATTTACAAAAATCATATAACCTATAGCAATATAGTTTACCTAGTCAGTCAAAACGTAGAAAAAAATACATTTTACTAGAAAAATAAAAAATATAGCCATAATTCATTTTATTTCAAAAATAAATGGAAGTGTTCCAATTAAGGCGCTGTTCCAATTAAGGCAACTCTCCCCTATATATATTTCTTATGAAATATATATATATATATATATATATATATATATATATATATATATATATATATATATATATATATATATATATATATATATATGTATATATATATATATATATATATATATATATATATATATATATATATGTATATATTTCTTATGAAAGTACTATTAGGCGCACTCAAAATTTATGAAATTGCTGTTTTAGGTTGTAAGAAAATATCTTTATGATCTATTTATTTACAAATACAGATTATTATTGCTGATTCGGGCAAATATCAAGAAAAAAAACACTGATTTTCTGCTAAAGCCTGCTGAAGGAGGAGGGGGGTACCACTGCCCCAATTTTTTTTCCTAGAATAGGCCCTGATATATATATATATATATATATATATATATATATATATATATATATATATATATATATATCTATCGAAAATAATTTATCATAGCTTCCTGATAAAATGTAATTTTTTCACAAAAACAGGTTATTTTCCCTTAAATTTTTTGAAATTTCCCTAAAAATAGCTGATTGTTGATCGGCTGTTATTTTATGTACATATATATATATATATATATATATATATATATATATATATATATATATATATATATATATATATATATATATATATATATATAAATATAAATATATATATAAATATATATATATATATATATATATATATATATATATATATATATATATATATTTATATATATATATATGTACATAAAATAACAGCCGATCAACAATCAGCTATTTTTAGGGAAATTTCAAAAAATTTAAGGGAAATTAACCTGTTTTTGTGAAAAAATTACATTTGATTGGGAAGCTATGATAAATTTTTTTCGATATATATATATATATATATATATATATATATATATATATATATATATATATATATATATATATATATATATATATATATATATGTATATATATATGTATATATATATGTATATATATATACATATATATATATATATATATATATATATATATATATATATATATATATATATATATATATATGTATATATATATATATATATATATATATATGTATATATATATATATATGTATATATATATATGTATATATATATATTATATATATATATATATATATATATATATATATATATATATATATATATATCAGGGCCTATTCTATGATCATTTATCTATATATCTATATACATATATGTACATATATAAATGTACATATATTTATATAGATAAATGATCACACAAGTGTATATGTGTGATTATATAAACGGCTTGCCTTATAAGCAAGATGTTCTGAGTTCAGTCCCCATTATGTCCCTGATATACTGCACTCAACTTGTTTCTCCATGCTGCGGCCTTTTATATATGTGCGTCTATATATGTTTTAATGCTTTTTATTTTCTTTTTATTTTAGAAATAATGTCTAAAGTTGCACGTCGTGAACATTTATTTGGAATAGCTCCTTGTTTAGCTGCCATTTTAGCTGGAAGAAGAAAAATTTTTAAGGTGTACTTAAATGATAAACTTGAGGAGGAAGAACCAAGACGGTAACTGCTGTGATACAGAAAATTGTTTACTTAAAAATATAATATACTTTGTAATGGTTTGATGGGTTGCCCTTTGTTTAAGAAGGGCAACTCATCTGTAGCATTAAACAACAGACCAATGTCTTTAACATCTGTTCCATACAAAATCTTGGAAGAGTTTGTCGTTTAGTAATCTCTGACAATTGGTTTGTAAAAAAGAGGGCTTGTGTATACAACATACTGGAAAAAATAGTTTTTGAAAAAACATACATGGACAGGGAGTGTCCAATCAAATTTCAGCTAGGTTTTTGACAAGGTAGAACACACAAGGCTATTACTCAAGTATGAAGGATCTCTGGTATATCCGGTGTTTGGTTGAGATAAAATTTTAAATCATTCTTAGGCAACATGTTGTAATGGGAGAAGTTTCATTGTCATTGTTGAGTATAATTTAGGTTTGCCTCAAGAATCTGTTCTTAGTCCTTTTTTTTTTAAATATTTATCAACAATATACAATGTATATGCAAACTTTACATAGATGACAGCAAGATGCTTAAAGCAGTAAAAACCTTTCTGTATCCATATCATTTTGCAAGAAGATATCAACAAATTAGTTGAATGGGCTGGTATATGACTAATGAAGTTAAGCAAAAGAAGTGCAAAGTTATAAACATTAACAAAAAAAACCCACATACCATCTATACGATGGTATGTGGGTTTTTTTTGGATCCTTAAAAAGGATTCAAAGCTCAAACATCTGAGTTATAAGAAATGACTATAGCCATTCATTTCGGATCCAAAATGATGAGAAAATCTAAGATAAAAATATTAAAAACTGAACATACATAGGCTTTATTGAAAATGTCAGGATTTTTACAAAAGTAACTCAAAAAGACAAACTTTTTGCTTGCAATTATTCAAGTGCACATGAGTGATAGTTAAAGTCTTTGGTTGCAAAAATATGAGATTAAAAAAAAAGCATGCATTCAAGCAAAAAATAAAACCTTGTAGATAAAATCTGTTTTTTTAATCTTCTACAGGTCAAAGAAATTATTTACCTGGTATAAAGATCTTTGTCTAATTAAATATTAAAACCTTTTATCTTGAATGCACTTAATTAGAAGCCACTTTTAATGTTTGCAAAACAAATCTTACTTATAAAATATGATTACAATGATCCACAGCTTCTATATTACTATCACTATTATTATTAATTAATATTATTATTATTATTAATTAATATTATTATTATTAATTAATATTATTATCACTATTATTAATGTGAAAATATCTATGAATATCATGCAGTGAGAATATCTTTTCAATTTTTTTTTTGTTATGGTTCTTTCAATAAAATATTTTTTAAAAGAAATATTGTATATGATATTTGTTCTGAAAGATCTTTTTTACTTAGCATTTATAACCTTTAAGTTCTTGATTTTCTTCTCTTTTATTTTACAGAAAAGAACTAGTCCAGTTGGTAGCTGAAGCTAACGAAAGAAATATTAAGCTTGTTTATAAATCACGACCAATTCTTGACCGCTTGTGTGGAGGCAGACCTCATCAGGTGACAAGAAGATTTTGTTTATTCAGATGGGCAAATTTTTTATAGTGAGAAAAAATTCTCAGCAATCATTTATATATATATATATATATGTATATATATATATATATATATATATATATATATATATATATATATATATATATATATATATATATATATATATATATATATATATATATATATATATATATATATATATATATGTATATATGTATATGTATATATGTATATGTATATATACATATATATATATACACATATATATATATATACACATATACAGAGGCTACTCTAGACTCTTTTAGTGGAAAATTCAGCGCCCATACGGTCACCACTGTCGGGTGACCGTATGGGCGCTGAATTTTCCACTAAATATAATTAAGATTGGGGGGGGGGGCGTTAAATGTTTTATGGTAACAACTTTATGTCTAATTTTTTTGATGACTTGATGCCGACCATGTGTATATATATATATATATATATATATATATATATATATATATATATATATATACATACATACATACATACATACATACATACATACATACATACATACATACATACATACATATATATATATATATATATATATATATATATATATATATATATATATATATATATATATATATATATATATATATATATATATACATATATTGATATATATATATATATATATATATATATATATATATATATATATATATATATATATATATATATATATATATATATATATGTTTGTAGAGTGTTGTCATGGAAACAGGAAAGCTTAATTTGACTCCTATAACTCGTGAAAGGTAAAAATAAATAAATTTGTTTCATAAAATAGTTATAATTATTTGGGTATGTCATCTAGTCATAAAAGTATACAATTAGTTGTTTTTTTTAGTTACACGCTACCAACCCAAGAAAGATTTTTGTTAGCTTTAGACGACATTCAGGCTAGTAAAGTTTTATGTGTGTTTGTGTGGTTATACAAATCCATGTTAATTTTTTGCAATTATACTACCAAAGTTTTGAAATATTTAAAGGGTTTCATGTTGTGCACAGGAGCAAATGATCAAATGGCTACTCCTTATGTGTAATAAATACCTTTAGGTATCTGATGCTTCTTTATAAAATGAAAGTTTTAATGTTCAATTATATATATGTTTTTAAATAGCAATTTTTATAATGGCATTTGCAAATATTTGAATAATTGTATCTGATGATTTATAACTGAAATAATTATTAGGATCCTATGAATTTGGGAGCCATTATTCGATCAGCAACTTACTTTGGAGTGGATAAAATTATTGTTAATGAAAAGAATTCGTAAGTATATTTTGATGTAGTTTATGTGCATGTTAAGTTAGCAAATAAATTATGAATAGCAATTAGACATCCTATATTGGAATGAGTAAGACTCTTTAGCCATCGTGAAGTCAACTTAGTTAAAAGTAGGAACGCTTTTACATAAAATTCCCATTATGTAAAGGTAGGAGAAGCTATTAAACCTATTAAGCTATTAACCTATTAAACCTAGCATCTGGTTGTAAAAAAATTGTTTTAACTAAGCTCTTCCATAATATCGTATAAGAATCAAATAAGAAAATTCAAAACCCATTTAAATCAGGGTTGGCAAAAAAACCCAACCCAAAAAAACCCACCTTAAAAAAACCCAATAAAACCCAAAAAAACCCAAAATATATTTGGGTTTTTTTAAAAATGTCCTATTTTACAACTGATAACTTTGATTTTAACACTTATAAATGCTTTATTATCAGCAAGTGCAACCTTTATACTGTAATTACTCTTGTAAACACTGTATTTATATACATAATGGTATTTAGAATACCAAAACCGATCAATCTGTTTTTGTAGCAAGTTGGTTATTTATTATTCTTTTTAAACATTTAGCAAGTTATTATAAATGTTATTGAAATATGTATTAAAACATTAAATTAGTTAAATACTTATAAAGGAAATAAAAATCATTCTATTAACTAAATTTCAAGACATTACTAGTTATTTAGTATCTTTATTCTTCTCTCAAATGTCTATATTCCTTTATATTGGTATTTGCTCTTTTATTTTTTAAAGCTTATGTTGTAAACTGCAAATTTCAGTAGAAAGCCACAAGCAAAATACTATATATAAAAATTATTAAACTTTACTTACAGTTTAGAAATGGAAAGTTGTCAGGCAAAAAAAAAAATTGCTACAGTTTACTAGATTTGTCCTTAAGTACATACAACTCTAAAACTTAAAAAAAACTAAGTTATGTGCAAGCAAGTTTGCAACATGTTTGCTCATTCAATGAGAGAACATGTTGAAAACTTGTATGCATTTCACAAAGACAAGATTTGTTGGTAAAAATGACACTCGTGCTCATCTGTCTTTTGAATATTTTGTATCAGCTACAAGTTTACAACATGTACCACCAACAAGGGTGATTATGAACAGCGGGTTGAAAATTAACATCAGTATCAAGTTGCTAAAAGGTGAAGAAACACACACAATAGAGCTGTATAATGTGTTACTTTGATTCAGTTTGCAATTTGCATTGCAAAACTGAGCCGGTAAAACATCTTCAAGGAAAAAAAAAACTTGGTGGCGAAGACACTGTAATGGTTCTTAACAAATTTATTTTAGATATTTTAAGAACAACTAAAGTTTAGGAAAAAATCCATTTTTTTGCCAGTCCAGTTGATCAGGTGTATAACTTTTTCAGGAAACTGGGCAGTATAATGTTCTGATAAAAAAAAATGTAGTGATTAGGCTAGCAGTTTTCTTCTATGATACAAAAATGTTTAAAAAGTGTTCATAGTCAACTTGATTCATAATAGCTTATAAGGTTGATTCATAATAACTTATAAGTGTTCATAGTCAACTTGATTCATAATAAACTTGTTGATTACATGTTGTAAACTTGTGCAAAATAGTTTTTGAAATGATATGTTACACATGTTAGTAAAAAAAACTAGTTTGCAACATTTATATTGTCTTACCGACTTTGAATAACTCAATTGTCATAATAATCTTTATACTGATTTTTTTTAAGTCAAAAATATTCTGAACGTATTTTTATTTTAGTGCAATTAATTAACATCATTTTTAGTTGATGGAGTCCCTTTTTGCACTATAGGTAAAATGTGCTAGTAGACTAGTAGTAAAACATTTGGCTCGCAACCAGAAGGTTGGGGTTCAAATTACCTCTGCTGAAATTACTGTGCTCAATCTATTTCTCCGCACAGCGCCTTTGTTTAAAAATTTTAGTTGTTAATGTTGTTTGTTAGTAAAAATGGTAATGTTAAGGTTTGAGACAAAATATTTTAAAAAAATGAGTTGCTCCCTTAACTGAAGTGGTCATTGGAGCAATAGGAAGGTGAATTTATGAAATTAAAAAAAAAATTATTGTACTCATACAATTATAAAAATTTGGTATTTTGATCGGTTTTTAAAAAAACCCAAAAAACCCATAAAACCCAATAAAACCCAAAAAAACCCATTTGGGTTGGGTTTTTTTAAAAAACCCTGGGTTTTTTCCAACCCTGATTTAAATTATATAAATATGTAATCATGGGTATTAAACTTCAATATAAACATAAATATTAAAGATGCAGGAATATATTTTCCATACATTTTTCTCCAACTTTTTTTTCTTAAGTCAACTAGTAAGAAGTTATTAAAGAACCTTTTGGAATAAAAACAAAGAATAAAAACAAAGCTAATAATACTTTACAATTTGGTTATTTTTTTAATGATAAAAACATATCTCTTACATTTGCAATGTGGTTATCCATTTTGATTTATATTATTTGTTATTTTTAGGTGTGGATTAACAGCAACAGTTAGTAAAGTTAGCTCTGGAGCAATGGAATGGGCCTCAGTTTATTCAACAAGAGATATGCAGAGGTTGCTTAAAGTAAGTTTATTTTCTTTTGAAAAATTGCTAAAAAAAATTTTTTAATGAATAACATTTTTAATTATTAAGATAATAGTTTTTGTAATCAATTATTTTCATTATTATAATCCACCATTTTCATTATAATCAATTATTTTCATTATTACAATCCATTGTTTTCATTATTACAATTGATTATTTAAATGTTTTAAACATTTGTTTTCATTTATTCAACAATTTTCATTCTTTAATTTTGCATAAGGTCAAGTTGTTAGAAGTTTGAATTTTTCAACTTTTTTTAGGATTTGCTAAATTATGATTGGAATCTAATAGGAACTGTTACAAAAGATTATACCCAATCCAAAGTGCATTCATGTCACGATGTTCAATTATCAAAAAGAAATGTTCTTGTTATAGGTTTTTTTTTAATTGTTTTTTTTCCATACCCATTGTTTAACTTAGTAGAGTTTTTTTTTTAAACAATATTACATGTAAGAAAAAAGCTTTATAAAACCTTAACTGCTGATTTAAAGGATTTCGATTTGTTGTTCATTACTTATTTTACTAACGCTTCTATTCCTTGTCTCTGTTTGTTTGTCTGTGAGCATCAAATCTTGCAATCAATTTTTGAGTCACTTCCTATGATAAATTTTCTTCAAATTTTGCATACATACTCTTGCTTGATGACAGTATAATATTCAATAATTAGTTTTGTAATAAGCCAATTAATTTAGTTAATTTTAATTAAGTTTATATATATTTTTTTATATGTATTAATAATTTAAAAAAATAAGTATATTGATTGTTTTCATACTTATACGTGCGTTTAGCATATTTGGATAAGGCATTGACTTCGTAAACAGAATGTCTGTGGTTCGAGACCCGCATCTTCCCGAAATTTTTTGTTTCTTTTACACACGCATACAGCCAAATGTTAATTAAATAAAACAGCAATATCAGAAATAATTGCAAAATTTGTGTTTTAATAACATACAAAAGCATTGGGTTTTAAAAATTCGTTTTTAATTTTAATTGTTATACTATTTTTCAGTTTCCCTATTAAGTAAAGTTGTAATTCTTGTGTTATAAAAATATATCTAAAATTATTATTAATATTTAAAAAAATATATATTATTTTTTGTTTAAAATATTTTTATTTTTAACTAAAAAGTTTTTTTTAAGGCAGAATAACCTGAATAAGATAAAAATATAAATATAAAATATAAATTCCTATCACAAGTAACTTATTGTAAACAATTTTTTTTTGATTCAAGTAAAGTTAAAGAATTTTTTGAGCAGGATTTGTTTCATCAAGTCTTCAATTCAGTTTTAAATAATGGTTCTAAATCAATTAAAAATTGATGATGGAAGAATCATTATTTAAAATATCTTTTATTTACGTAACTTTTATTTACATAATTGTGTATTAAATGTTGTGAAAACTTTTGTAACTTATATTGTAACTTTTATTTACGTAATTGTGTACTAAATGTTGTTGAAAATTTATGTAATTGTGTATTAAGCATATTAAGTATTGCATCTGTTGTTACACAGTTCCAGCACAAAATATAGGTGGAATCGGATTAACATTCATATTATTACTTTTAAATTTGGAGCAGATCATTTTTACTGGGTTTAACACTTGACTGTAACAACTAAGCTGGTAAACCTTTAAACTTTCGAAATGAGCATGATAATGAGCATTGTCTGCTACCATAAATTAATTCTCTAAACCAGTGATTCGCAAAGTGATCTATATAGACCCTCAGTGGTCTATGACAACCTGCAAGGGGTCTACGTCAACGGAAAAAATATTTGGGGGTCCATGAAATGAAAATGAAAATCTCAACATACACTGATAGTACCTATTTACTTACATTATAGTCCCCCACTGACTCACTAAATTTAATCAATTGGGATCGCAAAATGATCACGGCAGAGCAGACATGCACAAAGCACTGCAAGACGTCACTGGCTGATTGACTCAACTCAACTTGTTACCCGCATTATTTGTCCATTAAAAATTGAGTTCTTTAGCTTTAAAAGAATTATAAAAGTATCGAACTTTCTAAAATCTTTCTAAACTGTTATGGCTCTCCAACTTGTAATTCAATGTGCATTAAAATTTTCATATTGCTGTTTTTACTTGACATTTTCAACACCAAACTTCACTACAGTTTGAAATTTACAAAAAATAAGTATCAGGTAAGTTGGGGGTCTACCCAAAACTGAAACTTTGGGAAATTTTTGTCTATACTGAAAAGAAAATCATTTAAGAATGGCCGGGAAGCTTTATCACTTCATAAACTTTGTCTGAGAATTAAAAAACATCTCTCTGAACTAGATAAAGCACCAATACAGAGCCTAATCAAATATGTTAGAAAAAAAAAGTGTTTTTGTAATACATAATACACTGTGTCTCTGAACAAACTTTAGATGGAAAAAATTTGTAGAGAAAAATTGTTTACATATATTGTTAGTTTTATGTCTGGTAACTCCAAAAATATGTTCAAAAAATCGTAATACTCCGTTCTAATGAAATATGGCGTTTTACAAAAATATATATATATATATTTAGCATATATTAACATAGATTTTGTTAATAATATTAGCCATTTTAATAATAAATTAACTATATTAATGATTATTATTACATAACAATCTTCACAGTTTTATATATTTGAATAATATATCATTGTACAGTTAAGTTCTTTCATTATTGTATGTCAAAACAACACCTATAAATTTTTTCCTGTATGAGTCATGATGATAGTATTTGGAAATCGTGTACCTAGAAATCTCTGAAAATTTTGAATGAAATTTTGAATGCTTGATTATACAATAACATTTGAAGTAAACATATAATAAAGTTAAAAACACCTAAAGTTTTCAAATAAATGTAATTTTAACATTTAATCAAGTACTCTAAGTAACATCTTTCTTTGTTTTTTGTAAAATGCCATATTTCATTAGGACAGAATGTTACAATTTTTTGAAATATATATTTTTGGAGTCAGCGGACAGAATATATTTTTGGTGTCACCTAACAGTATATGTAAACAGTTTTTATGTAGAATATTTTTCAAACAAAAGTTCAGCGACAGTAAATAGTTATTGAAATAAAAAATTTAGTTAGAGTTGAACATTCTTTTTTGGAAAAAAAAGTGTTGAATTCTGACTAAATTTTTTTTTTCTCCTTTCAAAACATTTAGGTTAGGTTTTATTGAAATATAAAGGGGTAACACACTTTTTAAATTAGTGAAAAAACTTAAAAAACACGTAAACACTTGTTGTAATGACTATTTGCAATGAAATTTTAATTTTTTCCACTGCTTCATTTTTATTAAGTTTTTACTTTTGAGAAATAATTGAATTGCTTTTAAATTACCTCCTGTATACACAATTTTATATTCAGATTTTTCTGGTTCTAACTGATGTATTAATAACTATATTTCTAAGCTTGATTTCTTCAATCTTAATAAGGAAAGTAATTTTACTTTGTTTATTCTAACACCTAATTAAAAACAATCAATAAATAAAAAAAAGTAATTAAAAGTATTAAAAGAAAGCTGTGAAAAATTTGATTGATAAAATAAAAAGAGTGTATATGTTGCAAGCAAAGTATAGCGGTGTTGGGGAAAAATGTCAAATTTATTGTGAGGCATAGACAGGCACATACAAGTTTCTGCAGCATCATGTGTTGCTAGTACCAACAGTTTCTGCAAAAGCACATAGTTTAGAGCATCCTAAGCATTTTAAACACAAACTCTCTACCCAAACTCTATTCTATCTCCAAAATGACCTAAAAATGTCTTGTTGTTTTGCTACCTAAAAACCACTAATAAGTAATAAAAATAATTGATTAATAAGTGATGAAAAATAGACTTGGCTCAAAACTACAAGATCTTCAAAGATCAAAAATACAAGATCTCTGAAAGGTTAGAGAAATTGTTTTATAAGAAAAGCATTATTAAAACCAAACAATCAGGTTCTATATCTTAGAAAGCCATCAAATATGATCACTCCAAATCTGAAACCTATAGAGAGCTGTTGAAATTCTATGAAAAATAAGCTGAAGAGGTATCACTATTCATCACCAACATTGATAGAACAAATAAGAAAAAAGTGGGTTACAGTAATCCACTTTTTTTTTATTTGTTCAATAACATACTGACATGCCCAGGGAGTATTTTAAAATTATTAAAAATATTTTAATAGCATGCCAAGGAGGCTACTAGCGGTACTTCATAACATGTTATAGTTGAGCATGTGTTGTAAAAATGTGTTGTAAAATTATAAAATCCTGTAATTAAAAGCATAAATTTGTGCAATTTTTAATATTTTGAGGTTTTAATGTTTCTGGTTGTATTATAAGCCTTGCAGAAAAGTATTAGACAAGCTGCAAAAATTTACTGCTTTTTATTAAACTTTGCAGTATGTAGCATCAATTATGTTTTTTATAATCATTTTAAGGCAATGAAGGCTTTGGTATGAATCCACTGATAACTTCTATATGCACCAAGTTGGTCACAATACCATCTTTTAATGACAGATTACCTGAAGGACTTGATTCACTCAATGTATCTGTGGCTACAGGTTAGTAGTCATTATGACTTTGTTTTTTGTACCAGCTGTTGCCACTTTTTTTTTCTCATTTTATTGATGGGGATGTGCTTATATATAATTGTTGTTGTCACCACCATCCACTTGTTTCAATCTATCTTTTATGAATATTCGTGGTCTTGAAATAACTTTTTATCCATTGAGTCTTACTTCATGCAAAATTCATGCACTTTATGACATTAATATGAATTTGGCTGTTATATTTTTTTATTTCAGTTTTGAATGGTTTGATTGATTCACAAAGACTCCAATATTCACATGCTTGGCCTGGGCATATACTTAGGTATTAATTCACCTAATGTTGTTGAATCCTGTGATCTTTCTGTTATGTGCAACCGTTTTGCGCTTTATCACTCAATCGCTTTTATCTTCTTTAGTGTTCTTCTCAGAACTGCACTCTTTTCTGATCAAATTGGCCAAGCTTTTGCTCTTTATCTATCAGGCAATATTGTTGTTATTGATAACTTTAATACTCATCACAGTTAATTGGTTAGCTTATGGACCACTGACCTTGCTAAAGCTTATAACTTTTGATATCTTAATCTCCTACTCATATGGTTTGAACTTAGGATGGTCAGAACCTTTTGACTCATTTTCCAGACAATTCTAGTCACTTACATTCACTAATAGCTTGTATTTAGTTTCTCATTATTCTCTTTTGGGTTGTTTGTATCAAACTTTAGGTTTGGATTAGTCTTTGGATTGGTTGTTGCTATGATATCACTAAAACTTGTACTTCTTTAAATTTACTTCAACTCACTATCATCACACTTTTTACTTAGCGCTTATTTCTAATGGTAATTATTTTTTTATCTTTTTCTTTTGAGAACAAATTTTTTTTATCTTTTTCACAAATATCTTTATATTACAAGAAATAAATGTATAAAGGTTCTATCTGATGTTATCAGACAGCATCTTTACATCGATTCATGGAATCTATCATTCATACCACGGAACTATCGTCCCATCAGTCTCCTCTTTATTATTAGCTAGGCCTTTAAGTCTTTTATTAACAAAATTCTATTATCTCATCTTGAGTCTAACATCTTATTCTCTGTCAATCAATACAGATTTCAATCCTAAAGCTGGCTTTTCTACTTATAACAGAAAGTTTCTATTGTGCTTTAGATCGATGCGGCTTTTGACGTATTGAAGAGGTTTTGCTTTTGACATATTGAAGACTTTCTATAAGGCTTGGCATCCTAATCTTCTCAATAAGCTTATCTCATATGGTGTGTCTGGTTTTGAAAATGTTACAATCATTACTTTATAATTACAATATAAAATAACACTCTTCTTCATTTCCAGTAACTTATAGGGTACCACGAGATTCCATCTTTGGTCTTGCATTGTTTCTTATCTATGCTGATAAACTTTCTGTCAATCATACATGTAAAGTAGCTCTATTTGCTAGCAACACAACTATATACTATATATAAGACTGTTTGGAACTCGCAATCGGTGACGAGTTTTAACCCGAACAACACTATTGCAAAACAATTCAATAGTGTTGATTTTAATTAATGAACGAGTCTTCTACCTAATTTGAGCTTGTCTAAGTACACAAACTCTGAAAAAAAAACACTCAAGTTCTACAAGTACGACATCTACCAAGAGTATGTGCATAATATCCAAGCACCAACTTTCGGTTACGTAATGACCTTTTGTTTCATTGAATATTTTACATTCAGTTTTTACACTATATATATATATATATATATATATATATATATATATATATATATATATATATATATATATATATATATATATATACAGGTATTTTGTTGCATTCTTTGATGCCTAAAAAATAACTATCAGTACAAAGTATAAAAAACATGAACAATACGAGAAAAATCTTTGGCAACTATTCAGAAGATAAAATGTTGTGGAACTGTTTTTTGTTACTTCTATTGGATTGGTAAAATTTAAAAATATTGCGCAGTTTTGGTACAAATATATTTGCAAGCGAAAAATTTTAACGATAAAATAAATCGGGACGATTAGTTGTTCTTTTTTTATTTGTATTTTTTTTGTTAATTTTTTAAAGGACAAAAAAGTTATGTTTTAATTATAGATTTTCAAACAAAAGTGTATTGCAAAATGAATTTGATATTTTTTAAATGTTACTTTTTTAATATTACTCAATTCTATAATATTACTTTTTTTTTGTTTTGTTTACACAAATAATAAAGCGTGAATATCAATGATAATTTTTGTGAATTTGTGAAGATCAAGATAATTTTTGAGATAAGGCAAAACAAAAGTAAGGTTTTCATCGTTATTGTTTTTTGTTGCTGTTTTAATTTTTGGTTTATTTTACTCTGCGAGAAAAATCTTTATTGCTTTTTTTTTTTAGTCCTGCTTATCAAACATTGTGGTATTGAGATAAAATATATGTCATCATCCTGGGGCTATGTATTTTGCCCCAGGATGATGGCATATTTTATAATATAAAATATGCCATCATCCTGGGGCAAAATAATATAAGTATTTAAAATTAACTCAAAATAATTAAAAATCCCAATTTAAATATTTTTTAATCCCTTAACATTCGATAATATTTTTAAAAAACGTGGTTTTTGTTTAAATTTTCAGCTTTAGTGTGAATTTGATAACAAGATTGTTAGTGGTTTTGAAATTTCAACTGAATTAAACAAAAAAAGTAAACAATTCAGCTGGTAGAAGAGTATTAACTATTTCTTCGAATGGTTATAGGATTTCGAAGGTTGGGTTAAGGCTATGCCAAACAAATATTTGTGCATTGTTTTAATATTGGTATAGCCTTAGCCTATTGTCATATGGGGTTGTCCATATTTTGTAACGATTTGTTATAGGGAGAGGATTCAGTTTTGTGACGTAACACTTTTTTCTCAAATTTCAGATTTAGAAAATCTTTTCTATTGATTAAAAGAGTGTCTAGCCTAAAACATAAACCCTCAATTGATGTACACTCGACTGCGGCTATTCCAATTTAACTTAAATTTGAATTGACATTTTATGAATTATAATTTTGTTTTCGGAATAATTTTCTGATCAATAGGCCAAATTTTTACGCTTTGAAATTTTACATCTATATATTATTGTAATTTTTAAAAATTTATTAAAAAAGTATAAGTTATATGAAATTTATATTCGTAATAAATTTATTAATATATATTTCGATAGAATTGAATTGTTTGAAATTGACAATTATCAAAAATTATTTATAATATGAATTCCAAGTCAACCGGCAAAGCCACGTTAACAGCGGCCGCTCTCGACCCAACTTGCGTATCGATAATCGACGCAGCGATAAAGACACCATGGCAAATCCATTCGCAAGCAAAACATTTAACGATAACTATAAAAACCTCGTCGCTGAAATGCTCAAGGTGGCAATAATTTCTGCGCTTACACTGATAATTAAATTGAACAGAGAAACCAAGGCTAAACTCACTGCCCAAATTGACGATCTCAACAAGAAACTGAAAGATAAGAAATCCAATACCTACGCCTGAAAACGCACCGGAAACAATCAAACACAGAAACGAAATAATAAACATTGTCGCCGCTGAAAACAAAAACAGACAAGATCGTTCCGCGAATGTCATTGTAGTTGATCTACCCAAAACCGACAACAAGGACGACAAGACAAGCGTCACGGAGTTCATCAAGGCTTGTGGTCTTGATAACTTCACAATCAAACAAGCAAGATACCTAAACACAAGTAAAAAACAAACTGCTTATAATTCTAATACTATTCAAGTCTCTCTTGCAAACGAAAGTGAACAAACCGCCAATTCAAATCACTGCAATCGCCATCAACTACAACAATTTAACGGAGTTTTTGCACGAGAAGACAGGACTCCAGTTCAACAAGAAGCGCTCAACGATACTCAAGCTAGACTGAAAGAAAAACGAAGAACTAAAAGATGCTGGGATTCTCCACAAACCGTTTCGGAATGTTATCCACAAAAGAACCGGTTAAATATGCTGTATTGATGTCACAAAATCAAACGAGCAAAAGAAATATGTGTTCGCCTCTGCAATGACAGCTCTCAACGAATATCAACAAAGCAATACAACAGCTACAACAAGCACCACTCAAGATAACTCTTCCGTCTAAAAAAAAACACCCAAAAACACCCAGGATTCCTGTAATAAATTAAAATAATCTGTCTCCTGTAAATCTCTGGTTTTGGACCAACAATTCATGCTCGTTAAATAAAAATAAACGCAACAAAGTCATAGCATATACACAACTTAGACGTTAAAAATACTCCAGACATTCTATTCTTCTCCAAAACTTGTAACAAAAGAACTAGTGACACGGTAATACCAGGCTATCAAATTTATTGAAGAGATAGAGACGGAAAAGGAGGTGGCGTGGGCATTTATATACAAGAAGAAATAACTACATTAGAAACCAGTTTTGCATAACTGAACTCAGACTCCATTGAACAAATGTTTCACGTAATTAGTCTTGGCAACAATTCAATTCTTCTTGGATGTATATATCGATCACACGACCTAAATAACGAAACTCTTAAAAACTGTATAGCATCCATCAAAGCTTTGAAAGCTGCCACCCAAAGGTTAGAGTGTGACTTTTTTTCTAATCTATGGTAGCTTTAATTTTAGCTACACATTGTATGAGTATATTGAGATTGGCGGCGGCGTGGCGACAACAGCGCATGTGCTAAATGAACAACCAGGCGACATGAGATTTCAAGATTCCTTAAACGAATATCTACTCACAATTGATCACCTTCAAAACATATCATAACAACAGATTTTCAAAGCCGAACAGTACTCTCGACCTAGTAATTACAGACAAGCCAGATCTCTTGATAGAAATAAATAAGGAAGACTCATTCGGACAAACCAACTCCAATAGGACAAACCAACTCAAAAATATGTATTCAACTCTATAGAAACAAGTGATAGCACAATTTCAACAGATCTTCAAATTGTTTGCACAAACCTGAACAATTACTTTCAATCATTTGTCAACGAGCCAAACGGACCTGTGCCGGAATTAAAACCCCTAACTGATAACAAATGTATATTAGACGAGGATATCTTTTCAATCAACGATATCCATGCTCGACTCGCAAACCTAGACGTATCTAAATCTCTCGGTCTGGATACTCAAACACTGTACTCAAACACTGTGCAGAAGTTTTCATATTGCCCATAACGTTAATTTTCAAGAAATTTTTCTCAACCAGTACTCTACCAGACCTGTGTAAGAAATCCAATATTACGCTCTTTTCAAGAAAGGAAGCAAACTAAAAGCATCGAATTATAGACCAGTTTCTCTCGCATCCATATTATTTGAGAGCATATTACATGAAAAATAATACCACACTGTAACTTAAACGGTTTATTAGGCACAGCACAACACGGATTCTGAAAAAAAATAAAGCTGTTTGACTAATCTCCTCAAAACTCGCAACTTTCTCACAGAAGCCGTAAACAAAAAATATTCAGTTGATGTGATCTAAACTAATTTTGAAAAAGCATTTGATAAAGTCCCACACAATCACCTATTGAACAAATTGAAAGCATATAGAATCAACGAGAAAGCACTCATGTGGATAAATGCTTGGGTCAACAATAGACAACAGCGTGTTGTCATTGTTACCCATTCAACTGCTGAAATATTCACATTAGATTGGAAAAAAGCAACAAGTGGCGTCCCTCAATGAAGCGTCCTTGACCCACTTCTTTCCATACTATTTATAAACGATCTGTTGGACAACATTACAAGCCAGTTTAAGCTCTACGCAGATGATAGTATAATTATGAACATTATAAAATTGAATGAAGATATGCTAGCTTTACAATCAGAGATTGATCATGCAATAAACTGGTTGATGTTCTTTAATGTGGAAAAATGCAAAACAATTCATGTCGATCGAGGTAACAGAAAATCTAATCAAGTCTATTCAATGACAAACACAGAAGGCACTCGCCAATACCTGGAGGAAACTGAAACTGAACGAGATCTAGGTGTTCTGATATCAAATGAGTCCATGCCAAAGAGTCCGAAGAAGTTCTGATATAAAATGAGTCCGTGTCCAAGAGTCCCAAGAGTACCTTAGAGTCCGTGCCCAAGTGGAGTCTGCAGTCTCTCTTTTAGCCAATTACAAATTGGGTCTACCCACTGGACACCGGACCAAAAAAAGACTTAAAAGACAGACGTAAAAAAGACGTCTTTTAAACGTCTTATACAAGTTTTAAACGTCTTTTGAACGTTCAAAAGACGTTCAAAAGACGTGCAAAACGTGTATAAGACGTTTAAAAGACGTCTTTTTTACGTCTGTGCCCACTGGGTACTCAAAGAAGCATTCCGAAGCAGAAGCATTCGTCTCTGGCAAACGCTTAACATCACATACGTCCACACCTGAAATTCGCTATTCAAGTTTGGTCTCCTCACCTAAAAAAAAAAAATCAATTTGCTTGAAAGAGTTCAGCGCAGAGTAAAAAAAGTTTCCTCAATCAAAAATCTTCCATATGAACAACGCTTAAATATATTTAGATTGACTACACTGGAAGAGAGAAGAGCCAGAGGAGATCTTATTAAACAGTTTAAAATTGTGAATAAAATTGATAATGTTAATTTTTTTGTTCTTTAAATGTTCTCTAACAACACATATAGTAGGAGAAGTCATAATAAACAGCTACACAGACAAGCAACCGCAATTGACACTCACACGGTCAACTTATTCAAAAGTTTTCTATCATGATGGACAACTTGTCCCGTCAACAATTTGGCGTACTCATTAGTTAGTATAGAGATGCCTGGTGTTGCACCTCTTCGTCAATACATTTTATAATTAACAATAAACTAAATAACAGTATTATTAAATTTTGTAAAAACATAAACAAATTAATCTTGATTGTAAATTTATTGATTCTAAATAAATTCAAATAAGATTGCTTGTCACTAATTCATTGCTAAAGAAACTATTTAAATAATATGTTTACCAAAAATTAAATATATATTTGGAATTATTTGTCCGTAAAGT